AAATATGGCAATATGCGGAACAAAACAGAGCTGTAACGGTCAGAGTAAAAGGGTTAGGATCAGGGTTATGTTTTTTTTGTCAAGTTAGTATTCTGATTCAAGTTTAGATATTGGGATGCTGCTTAACACTGTTTTACGACACGATCTTTGAATTTAGACACACTGATAGGACACATCGCTTAGACACATAATCTAGACGGTGACCGGAAAGATACGCATCAAAAACTACGCACAAAAAAAGTGCGCAAGGGCATTTTGTTTTCTTAAATCGAGCATTTATAGACATTTACACATTAACAAAGAGAGACTACATGTACATTGTTGCTTTATAAAAAAACTTTTCATGAAATATGACAAAATTTAAATGCATTAGTATAATTAGTTTGTATTTGCGCAATTTTCTGTTTGCGCAGTTTTCCGTTAGCGCATTTTTTTTTTGGGAACCCATCTTGACAAAACATTTCATGAACACATGATTAGAGAGTTTAGACACAACTTTTGGACACACGATTTTTTGAGACTTTATTATAAAGAAGCGTATTTAAAAAACTAGTCAACGATATTCTATTATAATAATAGTTCAGATGTTGCAAGTGTTCGGTACACAACCTAGTAGTCATTATTTACTGACAAGAACAAGACTGCAATATAGTTTGTTCCGTTTGTTAATTTTAAAAATAAGTTTTTACATATAAGGAAATGTTTAGCAAACAAGAGCTCTGTGAATCGTGCATGTACCATACAGCATGAAGTGCCCGGCAGTGATGTTAAAACTTCTGCCTCTCTACCTCTCTCTACAACAAAACATCAAATCTTGATGCCTTCCCGCAACCTACCATCTAATAATATATTTTTACCCTTATATTTATACTTATTTAAATATAATTGTAACCCTTTTACTTTTAGGTTCCTCAAATATGCAAACTCTCCAAAATAGACAAAGTCTATGTTCAGAAGGAAAACAAAAACAACCTTCAAAGGATAAGCAAACAATGAAGTAGTTAGGGGAGGGGGTCGCTCCCTTTTTTTTTGTATCCTGACTCAACATCTCACCATGAAATAATTTCTGGCCCTAACCATAGCCTTAATATGGACTCTACTTCTTAGTAGTGTTTCTTTCAGACTTTTTTAAAATTTCTCCAGTGGGGGTGGGGGCACTTTATTTTTTCGGGGGGGGGGGGGGAGCGGACTAAATTTTCCGAGGGGAAGGGTGGACACTGGTAAAAGTATATTATATTTTATATATAAATTCCAATTCGTTCAGGGTGAGGGGACGGTAGACTTTCTTTGTGGAAGGGGGGGGGGGGGCTTTGTCCTTCCAAAGAGATGCCTGGAAGAACCTATGCTTTTTACCCCGTCCCCATTTTTCGACACTGGCCCCAAAATAATACAGTGAGAAAAACGCCGAAGCTTTATTGTCTTTCGATGTTTTTATAAGAATCCTTAAGTCAGTGGGGCACTAAAATCATCGCTTGAGAATTTTTTTCTATAATTTTTAACAAACGCTGTTTTAACTCAAATTAAAAAAAAACACATATCTATTGTTAGTAACTATGACGTCATCACACTCTATCGCGTCATTACCTGTACTCTGTAATCTCCCTACGCCAGGACTGTGGTGTCTGCTGTCCGGAAATCTGAATCAGTCGAAACGGATGTCTCGCCCTAACAGCATTCAGGCTTGTCTCATGCACAACACATTGCGGTGACTAGATAAAAAATAACACGACAATTTTGTTCCTAGCGCGTACTACACACACAAAATATAATCATAAGGGCAAAACACTAATCAAATTCTACAATTTCAAAACAGGTTTACTCTTAGACTTATTTTGTTTTTAATACAACAGTTTAGATCACCAATAAACTGTCCGCAAGTATAATCTTTTTAGAAAAGACTGATACCGAAATGTACTTCCGTCTTTGTCTCTGAAGTCTTTTTTTCCATGCCGAAGTTTGAACTGTGAGTAAATTGACTGTTGTTAGTGGTTCTCAAACGATCTAGGCCTATGCAGACGCAGGGGTTAGCAATTGGATCTAGCTGACTGCAAAAACGTTAACGGCCTTAACATTTTTTTTCGTTTATCATTTACATTAATTTAATATTCAAATTTTCTCTGATTATTAAGTAGCTTTACGATTACTTGTCTTAATTTTTAAAATATGCATATTAATGAAGGCATACAGTAATTCTTTATTGAATAGGGTAAGGCCAATGACAAATACATTAGAATCACTGACTTAAATATTGCTATTTAGTGGGGGGAAAAAGAAAGAAAAAAACGTTGTGTGGTAAGAGAATTGGTTGGGGGGTAGCGTTTTTATGGCAAACATAAGGTATAAAGAGATGTGTAACACAGAGGTGTAGGAGGGGGGGGGGTACATGTGTTCGGGCGCCGACCTTAGGGGGCGCCAAAATAGGTTGGAAAAACAAATTGAACGTTTGAGGGGGTGCAAATTAAAAGTTTGAGGGAGGGGGGGGGGTGTGCAAATTGAAAATTGAAAGGTTGTTCCCGAGGGGGGGGGGCGCCAAATTGAAAGTTTGTCCCCGGGCGCCGGGAAGGGTCGCTACGCCTCTGGTGTAACATACATTTTGTCAATAGCAAATTTTTAGATTTTATTTTTCATTTACATTTTTTTTTCAATCTGTGAAACAAACAGAACTTGCTATCTGGATGTCATTATAATTAAAGGAAAGCTTAGGTTTTTAAAACAACAAATAATTGTAATAATAATAAAAAAGGTAATAAATATGGAAGATCAGGAGTAGTGTCTTCTAACTTCTAACTGCTTTACCAGATCAGTATCACATAGACATACAACATAATACGCACATTGTATAAACAACCATACATATAATGTTTTGTATTGTATGTACACCATCCTAGAGGCCAGGTATACATTTTATTTTTATTTTCTAACGTCTTTAACGCAATTAACGGCAAGAGAAAAAAACGGTATATAATTTAAAAAATATAGAACTATTGTTTACTCCAGTCCAGCATATATTTTTAAAACATCGTTTGCGAATGGCTGAAATCATTCGCTGTGTTTAATTTAACAGGATAACCGGTCCCCCCCCCCCCCCCCACATTTATTTTTAATTATTATGACAGGCTACTAACGCTACTAATTGGGTTGCATAACACTCTAATTAAACGGCAACCAGGAAAATAAAATAATTGACCTATTCGTTAAAAAACCGAACGGCGAAAAATGAAACGAATTTTTTTTTTTCAATGCTGATGATGAGCTCTACTGTGTGAGTCATCTACAACATCCGGATCATGTTTACGTATTGATGATTCAGCTTCCCCTTAAGCGACCAATGACCTTTATAGTATAAGTTTTTAAAATCAAAACGGAAAATAAAACATTATTTTACAAATAAATCTATTATAAAGTGGACTAGGGATGGGACGGCGTGGTCGGGGGTGGGGTAGTGCAAAATTGCTAACTCTAAAGTTCCGAGTTGCTGTTGACAAAGCTGCCTAAGTCAGTGAACAGCTTCTCCCTACAATATTGCCCGGAGTTGCAAAAAGACTATAAAAACACGCCCATAAACATATTGCTCTTGGGTCGAAAAAAAAAAACACACTAGGGGAATAAATATAAAACAGAAAACAATGTTTCATCTAGGTGGATTAAGACAGGCCTAGGTACGTTCGCAAAAAAAACGCGACATTATGCTATATATGTCTAACTAAAGAGAGAGTAAGCTAAACACAACATCCGTCGGGAGGGGAATAGGGGGGCAGTTTTTCTTCAAGACTTTGTTCTCCGGGGGAGGGAGGGCACTTGACATTTTCGGGGGGGGGGGGGGGCTAAAATTTCGGGGTGGGGGGGAGGGGCTGGGGCGGACACTGTTCAAAGTATATATTTTGTATATAAATTCCATTTCGTTCGGGGGGGGGGCGGTAGACTTTCTTTGGGGGTTCTACCGCCCCCCCCCAAGAGATGCATGAAAGAAACAGCAAAACAGCAAATCGTAACACATTGGATGCTTGGTCATGGCTGATACATCTCATACACCTTATCTAGCAGGCTCATACAGGCGCCTTCGAGTGAGTATGTTTGTGCGAGTGTGCATCTGTGTGTGTGTGCAGAGGTATATGCAGAGGCGTAGCGACCCGTTACGGCGTGTGGGGCGAACTATCAGCTCCCCCCCCCCCTTATTGGGGCACTTATTACCAGCCACTTTACCTTTTTATTATACTGTCACACTTTTGATGTAGAAAACAGTTAAATAAGTCCATAAAACCAAACACAGCGGTCTGTTTTCTTACTTTGACTGTAGATAATTCAGTAATGAAGCGAAAAAGTATCTTTTTGATACCTTTTCCGGGGGGCTGACACTGGTAAAAGTATATGTTTTCTATATAAATTCCATTTCGTTCGGGGGGGGGGGGGGGTAGACTTTCTTCGGGGGGTGGGGGGAGGAAGGAGGTGGAAGAGATGCCTGGTAGAAACTCTGTCGTCCCCCCCCCCTCCCACACACACACACTAAACAGCCCCCTTTTCCCCCTACGAAATTTAAAAATAAAAAACTTATAGCCCCAATTTATGTCCGTAATTTCACCCCATGAATTAAAATATTATCGGCTAATGAAATCTCTTACTCATTTTAGCAACAGGTGTATTTTTTTTAAGAAAGCAAGTTTGTTTTATTTTAATTTTTCAGACTTATTGATCGAGATCTAGATCTAGGTCGAATTATAACTTAAATATTTACTTTAGTTTACAGTGCAGTTTACAATGACTGCATGTGAGATTGTGTCTTTTTGTTCTAAATATCGTGTGTCAATTTTGACCGACTTTTAATTCTTAGCCTCGTTTTGTTTTATTTATTTTTAGAGCATTTAAAAGAGGTTTTTATATTATAATCATAAGAAAGGTGTTTTTTTTTTTTTTTTAAAAATATTTGTTTCATTAGCCTAGTCAACATAATACAAAAATGTGCTTGAGCGCTCTACACTTTTTTCCACTAGAAACTCGACTGTTATGATAGCATTTGAGTGTAGTGACAGTCCAATGTTAGCTGTGCTTGGTTATTAATAGAATCTAAAATATATCTCTGCATCGAAGAAGCTGATGTTCATTGAATGATGCTGTTTACGAATGAATTTTCCTATTGTAGTGCTGTAGACAAGTAGCTAGATCTCATTTAAAGCTACTTAGATCTAGGTAGATCAATCACGATTCCTCTTGTCACTGTTGTTAGTCTTGTAACGGGGAAATGTAAAAAGTTCAGCGTCACAGCGTGTATACACACACACACACTCACTGGTGGTGTACGTGACTAAAAATAAGAATTAGGTCAATCATCGTTTCGACGTTCCATTCATTTCCTTTAGCCTTTAGGGCTTTAGGCCCTTTTTATATAGATCTAGATCTAGATTCGGTAATCTATCGCTTTAGGTACGTAAAATCGCCCGCGACTAGTAATGTGGAAAAACAGGTGACTCCTTACATTTTAATAATTATTTCTGATTTTGAGGAGGATTTATGTTTTGAAAAATACAAAAATGTTTCCTTGTTTCATTTATGTACCTGTTTTTAAACAATTGAAACAAAACTTTTCAGTAATAAATGAACACCAGCGATGTTTCCAACAGATGCAACCATGCTCATTTACTATAGCAGCCATCTTGTTAAAGTTTTATTTTTATAGACATATAGCGCAAGATTCAGGCGGAAGTCACTCTATTTTACAAATGGCTGCTGTTTATATAGCAAATCTTGCTTGCAGACACTGCTGTTTAAAGTTAATTTCTGGCCTATATTGATATATTTAGCCATTGATTAATTAAGGTTTATTGTTCATTTATCTATAATATTTGACACAAACATATCACAATATACTTCTATTACAGCCTTGACAATGAGGTAACGTTTTCGTACATTAATAGCCGCGGGCGATTTTACGTACCCAAAACGATAGATTACCCTAGATTCTATTTAATATCAAAGAGAAAAATAATTTGATCAATTCCCGGTAAAACTCCATTTTAGCGTATTTTATTCTCCGTTGCTTGTTTACCTCCAGTTGAGCGTATTTTATTATAACAACCGAAACACACCAAAACATTAGGAAAACACGATTTATTTTTTGTATTGAAATGTATTGTATTTTTGTTTTAGCAAATGAATAAAAATGAATATTTTAAAAACACGACTTGTTTATGTGTATTGTATTTTTTTTAAAAGGCATTTGTCTCATGGTGAAACTGATACACTGTTAATTATTCTGTTTTATATTTTTTGTATTTATGCAATAAATGTACAATGGTACAAACTCTGTTTTTTAATTTGACAGTTTTGCCAAAACTGAAAAAAAAATTTTACTATAGAGTTGTATGTTATTTAAATTCATAGTAAATCTACCATCCTTCCCAATATTTTGATATATGTATCAAGTATGATTTTTGTATGAGTAAATTTCTGACTTTTAAAAAAAATTGATGTGGGGTCATCCATAAATGACGTCACACTTGTAAGGGAGAGGGGGGTCCGCAATTTTGTGTACGGTGTGTGATGAGGGGGGGGGGGGGTTTCAGATGGTGTGTCGTCACTTTTTTGCATTATAAAAAAGCAATGTTAGAAAAACGAGTTTTAGCCGTTATTTCGCGTTTTAGAAAACGGTTTTAATAAATTGTAATATGAATTATCAAAATACTCTGAGTTCAGACAAGATTTTATAAAAATAAAGATGTTTTAAGAAAATTTCAACGGTAATTTTGAGGGGGGGGGGGGGGGGGGGTGTTGGCTGAGGTGTGACGTCATTTTAGGGGGGGGGGTCTGGCTTTTTGTGACGACGTGTAACGGAGGGGAGGGGGAGGTAAAAATCGTAAAAAAAAGCGTGTCGTCACAAAAAGCAAGACCCCCCCCCCAAAATGACGTAGCACCATTTGAACCCCCCCCCTCTCCTCATCACACACCGTCACAAAATTACGGACCCCCCCCTCCCCCTACGAGTGTGACATCATTTATGGACGACCTCTAACATTATTTTTTTTTTAAATGACAACGTGGGTTGTCACACTTTCTCTAACACTCCAAGCCATCCCTCACCAAATTCCACCCCCCCCCCCCCCCCCCCCCCGGCCCACTTTCGGCTGCATTATTGTGCCTTTTAATACTTTTATTCAGTTTAGTTGAAATTGGAACAATTAATTGTACAAAGTGTGCATCTCTATTTTTGTAAACAACAAACAAAGCACTCCAGCCAGTCTCTTTGCTGTTTTTTATTCATTTGTTAAAACAAAAATACAATACAAATAAATAAGTCGTGTTTTTTAAACATTCATTTTATTCATTTGTGAAAACAAAAATACAATACAAATAAATAAATCGTGTTTTTCTAATGTTTTGGTGTGTTTCGGTTATTATAATAAAATACGCTCAACTGGAGGTAAACAAGCAACGGAGAATAAAATACGCTAAAATGGAGTTTTACCCAATTCCCTACATCTTAATAAAATAATACTATTACTAGAGATCTATTCTATTAATGAATCAATTAATGCAATTATTATGATTAGGCCTACTTAGTACTTAGCGTACTAGCAGTACTAGGCCCTATCTATATTAAATATTAATTATTAATTTATTATCTATTCTAACCAACCAGGCACTAAAGTTGATTCTAGATCTAGATCTAATTCATTCATTAGGGCAGGGGCTAAAGCTAAGATACAGGATTTTAATTATTGGTGCCTTACATTATTACATTAAATATGATTAATAGCTTGGACATGTTTTTCCGTGACAAACATTTGGAGATCTGAAAACAACCTAGGCGACTAGGAGGTTTGTAAGAATCAAGTGTGGGGAGGGGAAGTGGAGGTATGCTGCAAACATAATCAAAAGGATACTCCTCTATCTTGGTTTTGTAACTTATTGTCTATATTTTTTTTAGGCCAAATGAATAAATAAAAAATAATCATGTTTAGGCCCTAATTGTTTAAAAAGTAAATTATCAAAATATAAAACATAAATAAATAAATAGGCCAAGTGTTTTCCAAATGTCTTTGTGTGTTTTGGTTGTGTTTATAATAAAAAAATACACTCAACTGGAGGTGAACGTGAAGCACCGCATAAAATACGATAAAATTTTATCTACTGTCAGTACTGAAAATGCTATAAATTCTCAGTGTAGTATCCAACAATGAGATTGTAGTAGGCCTTAAAACTAAACTAAATAGTCACAAATTATCCACCTACCATCATAGCTCTAAAGTTACCCTAAAGCTAATAAAGTAATAATTATTATATGCCAGCTTTAAGTGGGCCTAAACACTGTATTTTAATCTTACTTTTCTACCAACACTAGAAGTTGGCCTAAAGTTTAATAAAGCTCTTATGTAACTTATTATAAGACATTATATGCAGAACTTGGGAATAAAATTTAATATGATTTGCTGTCCCCAACTTATCTCAAAAATATTTCAACCACATTTATTCCCCACAAGTAAATATATAGTAATATGTATGTACGCTAAGAAAAAGCCTATTCAGTCCAAAGACTGACATTGATGGAAAACGTAAATAATCCACAATGTAGATTGCTAATACACAGGGTTTGTACACAGTCTGGAAAAAGTCTTGAATTTAGAAAAATTAATTTCATACTTTAAAAAGTCTGGAAAATCTCTAGTTTTCGGGCTGGAGTTATTAGAGTCTGGAATTAGTTCTAGGAATAAATTATCTGTGAAGTTTATATTTTCCGACTAACAAAAAGGCTATTTTGTCATGAATTTACTCCAATTTTTTTCCACGCGGTATTGCGTGAGTCTCCGAAATGTTTTGAAATTTTTTGCTACTAATAGAAAATGTGAATAATCTAGCTTCTGAACGTTTTTTTTGGGTATTTGCAATTGAATGGTAGTTTTAAATTATGCCTTAAATAACATGTAGGGATAAAAATATAAAATCATGACCAACATGCTAATTTCTAGCTCTAGAATCTAGAGTAGATAGTACTAGAATTAGAATCTAGTACTACTAAGTAACTTAAATTACCTAAACTAGATCTAGATACGTAACAAATCTATCTTGTAACTACTAAGACTAAGAACTTAGTAAGAAGTAACTACTAGATCTAGGACTTTCACTAGGTAGATCTAGGTCTTAACTCTTCACTTACATTTTATATTACATATGAAGCCTTCAGCATTTGTTGTTCTTATAGGCTAGAACATAGCAAGGCAGGAATAATCAAATCAATAATGTTAATGTTATGTCAAAGCTATGGTTTTTATTTTGGGGGGGGGGGGGGGGGGGGGGGTGGTCTCAGGTTACTGGTTAACTTTAAAAAAAATGTAAGCTGATAGTATTCAGGGTTAGACATGTCTGCCATATACACTCATGTGGTGTTGTGCAGTAACAAATATATACTTCTTTCATTTTTATGTAGATCTGAGTCATTATGCCTTTAACATTTATGAAACATTATTTTTAAAAAAAATACACCACCCATTTTTGTTAATGCGCCAGCTTGTACATATCTCAAAAAAAAATCAATAATTATTATAATTTTGTGTTACTTTTTTGTAACTTTATTTCCGGAATAATTTCTTGTGGCTTTTTCTTATGCCTTTTACCCATTCCCATGATAATCCATGTATTAATGATAATTTATTAAAGCACTTAAAAGTCTACATTAGTAATTTTAGCTCCTTTGTTTTTCAGACTGCATTCTTCAATCATGGCTTCAATTAAGAGAGTGTGTCACAAATTCCAACATACCATGAGAACAGTAAATTCATTCAGACCTTCATGCTGTCACATGATACCCTTTTCAGACTGTAAAATCAAATCAGCAAATCAGTTTCTGAAAAATTGCAGAAGTATAAATACACATTCACGATTATATTCAACATTTGAAAGCTCACAAAATATTCTTAGTCAGTCAACTATGTTTGTGCAGGATGGTATTAATATAGAGGAACTTCCTGTATTAATAAGACGTGTAACACATAGCTCTTTTCCATCATCAACGTACTGTTATTCTGGTGAAAAAATCATGGATGAATCTGAATTTGATAACAGTTTTAGACAGGTACTTCAAAGCTGCACTTCTGTGAATGATGTTTTTAAGCTGTTGGAGGTTCCTTCGGATAAAGTGAGAGGCTATTCTGCAGCTTTTGCACTTCAAAGGCTTCATGTCCTGAAATACCTCAATAGTGATTGGAACCAAATTCATTCTTTTATTCGTTCAGCAGTTATGCGTGAATTGTATGACACTGTTGAAAAAGATGTGAGTTTGTTATCCAATGGAACTCTAATATCTCTTGTGGAATGTTATTTGTCAGCAGATGGTTTCAGTTCTTCTTGTTTTAATGCCATTAATAGTGCAATCCAATGTAGACTCGGTGATGGCACTTTCTCTATTGAAGAACTTCTTACCCTGTCCAATGTACTCAAGATGGGCACGGACAACAATAGAAAACCTTCGCCAGTGATTGTGAAGCCAAAGTCTCTATCCATGAGCATTGTTTCGGAGAATTCGTCCAGGTTTCTGACGAGTGATGATAATGAGCCATCCAAAACTGAGCATTTTGACAAGTACTGTGCTAGTGCCAGTCCACAGTTTAAAGAGAAAATCAAAACACATTGTTCTGAGATTTTAAACAACCTTTGGGTTCACTTGTTCTCAAGGTAATGTTAAATATGTTGCCAATGGCCTGCATTTTAATTTTAAGAAGAAAAAAACAATTTAAAACTTGCTTAATAAAGTAAATGTTCATAGCGTAAGGGGGGAGTAAAACTGTTAATGGAGTCTCTGATCAGGTGGTGAATTTACTTACTATAATGCTAATGTTGAAAACATAATTTAAGTTTAGTATTAGTTAATAAAATTTTCTTTTCTTTTGATGAAGTTCATCCATATCTTTTTCTACCCTTGAAAACCTCTGGGTTAGAACAATTACATAATGAGAATAGGTTAACTGTTTCTTGTTGCCTAATCACATGATGACCAGTTGGTCAGATGTTTGTCTTGAATAGGTCCTACCATAAATGTTCTTGTAAGCTGTTTTGTAAAATAAAATATTCAGTATCTTTTGTATCTCTGCAGGTATTCTGAGCTAAATGCTGAAACATTACCACCTACATTGCAAGCCCTAACATCCAGCAACAAATACCTGATCCTTATTCTTCAGAAGCCGTTGTCATCATTTTGGGCAAACCTTTCTGCAGAGAATGTTGATATCTGTTTAAAAGCACTTATCCGACTGCGTGTCCACAACAAAGCATTTTTGACTTACCTAGGTGAGTGTATTTAGTAGGTTGTTTTGTTTTTTCATCACATTTTAAGTAAAAAGCCATTTTTCATTTTAATTGACACCTTTTTCATTTTCTATTCTTCTTTTATAAAAACTTTATACTGTTATTCGGTATTTGCTGTTATTACAGTTAAGATATATTGGTTGTAGAAAATTAATTGTACATCGTATTGTGATATATTTTTTCAGCAAGGTGGTCCTATGTAAATATTCATTTGATGACTCCTAGTTTAATGATGTCATTTGTCCACACATTTCTACATTTTGGTTTCTTTGATGAAAACTTTATCAAAGTAATGGAGCGATGTCTGCAACTGAAAGGATTACAGGTATTTACATTTCTTTTAAAAATTATTGTTTTAAATTTTCATATATTCTTTGCTTAGAAATTAATCTGTCTATTCTTCAAGCCTTAATCATAAGTTTGAAACTCTATACAATTTCAAGTTAATCTATCATTGCCTGTACATTTCTTTAACTAACAGTTCACCATTATATGCTGTGTGGCTGAATGAATACTTTACAATTTCAGGCTGATACAAATGTGGTGGCAATGTGTGTAGAATACTGCCGCACTACCAAGTATCTTTCCCCCATTGTGATGGACACTGCAGCTGACCACTTCACTCAACATGGAATGTCTTATGAACCACTCCAACTCTTTGCTGTGTTAAGAGTGTTTGGACATCTCAACTATTTGCCTACTAATTCCGCTGCATTTTTAAAACAGGTTTTGATTCATTTTCAGATTTTACAAACATATAAAAATGTCTGTTTGATACTTACTTGTAGTAGAATTTTCAGTTTTCTTAAAAAATACATTACAGTCATCAAAGTTATATCTATTATATGTTTCCATTTTAAAATTTTAAATTTAAAAATTGATTTATAAAAAGTAAAACTAAACATGTTACAGAATACCAAATACTGGAATTTTCATGATTATTCAATGTTAAAAATATTGACCAGACATTCATTAAGTTTTTGTTGCATTCTTTTGGGTAATTTCCATCAAATTCTGTTAACAGGAAAATTTTAATTTTTTAATTTTTTTTTTCTTGTAGACAGAGGCATGTCTGTGGGAAAGGTTTGATCATATAGATGAAGAGCTCCTGTTGGAAATTCTTGGCTCATTCACCTTTGTGAATGTGTTACCTAAAAATTTTTCTTCCAGGTTGGCTAGTGCTGAATTTTTCTCAAAGCTTGCAGGTAAAAGTTTTTAATAAAAAAGCTGTGCTTTTGATTTATCAGCTTTTCTCTCCTAGGTTTTGAATTTAATCTATGCTCATCAAATAAAAAATTATGCAGTAGTTTGTTTTTAATCATTTTTTTTTATTAGCGCCCAAGACACATGGGGCAGATGAAGTAGAGTTTATCTGTTTCTGTGGCCTCAGCATTTAAATGGATAATGTGGTCAGCACTATGACTAGCCGCCTTAGTTTCCCTAATGCCAGTCAAGCAATGCTTGCCCATAACTGCTGGGTGGACGACCAGGATTCGAACCCCATCCCCGATTAGTTTTAAGTGTATTGAATAAAGTCAATTAATTTTGAGAGCTTTATTTTTAAAAATGTATAAAATTGCTTTTCAGCTCTCAAGACGGTTCAGAAAATAAATGCGTTTATGTGGTTACGAATACTAAAGAATGCAATTGTTGTTGATTCAGCAAACGATGTTACAAATAACCTCAGATGGTTGTTCAGTGGCAGAAGCAAAGGAAATAGTCTACTCTACAATGGTATGCAACTCTTTTTAAATAATGAAAAGATTTTTCTTTTACTATTTACGAAATTATAATAAATATTCTTACCCAATTTCTGTTTCGTGATAAAAAAAAATATGTACACATCGACTCAGAGACATCTGAGTTAAGACTGTTTTTAATCTATTAAAAGAAAACGTTCTGAAAATATGAACCAAATTAATTCCATAGCCTTGCATATATCTTAAGCCAATTTTCCCCATTGAAATTAATTGAAGTGCCATAGTAATTTTATTCCAGTACAGCTGGCATGTTTTCAATATGAAAAATGTATTTATAATTGAAAAATGTACTTATAAATGAAAAATGACAAATGCTGTTAAAAAATGTAATTTAGTTTTCAAATTGTAGTTGTATGTTTGATAGTTATTAAGAAAATATTTTTGTTGACAGACAATATAAGAGGAATAGTTTACACCCTAAAAAGGTCTCTGGATTATGTGCTTGGTCCGGACTACTACTACTCGATTCCATTTCATTGTTGTAAGTACTGGTTGTTAAATTTTGATCAGTTTTGCAGTTGAAAGAGGCTGGGTAACGTTTCTTGTGAAATTAATTTTCTTATTTAGTTAGTTATATTTTTTATCTGCAATATCATTCACTATGCACACCCGTCCTGCATTTCTGAAATCTCAGAAGAAAGGAAATTCAAGGAAACTCCTTATGTTAACAAACAATTAGCAGCATAACCATGTTTATGACCTCTTATTCCAACTCACACTGCATTTGCAGACAGGGTAAATCCATGTTGACTATAAACTTGATGAATAAAAAAAAAACTATAATTTATTAGTCAACATAACACCACAGTAAATGCCCAAACTGATTAGTGCGTTAAATTATTCAAATCCTGGTTATTTAATGGGATTATCTTTGTATGTTGTTTTTAACTAATTTAACCTATTTTTTGGCTGCTGAAAAATCCTCTCTAGTCATGCACCCTGATAGGTAAATGAAAAGAGAATAAAATAATTAACTTCTTCATATTCCTGAATTGGAAAATCTGTAAAGTATATCCTATTGATAATTGATAATGTTGGAACTGAATTGAAATAAAAAATGATTATATCATAAAAGCTGTAGCGGAAAGTAAATAAAGCATTGCAAGGCATTGAAATTTCAATTCCGGAATTTAGTTCATTTTGGATGCCATGGTTTATTTGAAAAACTAAAGGGAAAGTACTCCTTTCTGATTTTTATCATGTGTGTTTAGATTAGAATGTCTATTTTTATTAACGTCCTTGAGATTATATTATAGAGCATTTTTCTCTGCATAAGTATTTATATTAAGTTATACACATTGTAGGGCAACCTTCATTTGCACAACACATTTCTCACTTGAATGATGATGACAGTGTGATAGTCAAACATAGATAGAGCAGTGCATTCATATATTAGGTTTTTTTTTTCCATTTAAAGACTACCTTTTTCAAATATCTTCTTGTAATAAGTGAAAAATAATTTTTTTTTTTAAGAAAATGTGTATGCTTACAAGACTTATGATTAATTAGGCATTGTAATGAGGAATAGTAATGTCATGTTTTCTAAAACAAATCATAGGCTTGCCGAACAATCAGTGGCATATCATGACATTCACAAGAATTATCCTGTAAAGACGGAACCCATTTAATATACATAGACTGTAGCCTACATATACAAATATGGACATTGCCATGACATGTCAAAACTAACCTGTTTGTATAAGAATTTGTCTGAACTATCAACTAGAAGCACCACTAGAGACTTTCACTTGATCCTGTTGGTAAATCCTTGTGTAAAAAACATGATTCATCTACTGTTTGCCTTTGTACTACTGCTCATTTGTAGCTTAGTTACATACTTTCAATACCTAGTTGTCTTTTCATAGTTGTACTACCATTCTGATTATTGTTTTTATCCAACATGGAGTTTATAAATAATCTAAGATTTAACATTGTGTAAATGAACTTAGGTGAATTTATATATGTGTGGGGGTTTGTCCTTTATGAGTAACTACACCTTTCAGTGCCGCGCACCAGACAGGCATGCTAATATTCAATAAAAATGAAATAGTACATACATATTTTTGCAGGTTATGCTTTAAATATAGACAAGGATGGATTACCAATAGAAGTGAAAAGAACAAACAAAGGGTTTGTTGAGACTCAGTTGAATGCTGGCAACAGGTGAAAAATGTGTTTTTTAAGTCAAAGAAACTATTTTTTTTTAATTATTATTTTTTAAAATTAAAATTACTTTTTGAAAATTAATTTTTAAAAAATTGTTTAATGTTTGATCAAGTAAATATGTAAATAAAAAATGCACTGAAATATGTATTTTGAGAGTACAGAGTCTGAGATCACTCAGTTGATTTGCTCTGTATATATTTGATTGATCCCTATATAATTACTTCAAATGATCTTGAAATACTGCAGTTATGTTTCAGTGTGCTTATGTGACGCAATTTATTTTTCACTATTTGACAGGATTGCTGTCATAGTCAGAAGTGCAGATCATTTTATTGTCAACACAAAACAGCTGTTAGGGAGTCAAGTTCAAAGGTTGAAACAGCTTCAGCTCCTTGGGTTTACACCTGTTGAGGTAATAGATTTCACTTCCTTCAAACTGTAGCGGTAGAGAGCTAGACTGCTAACCCAAAAGTCTCGAGTTAGAATCCAGGTTCAAGTCATTAGAATGCCAGTGAGTCCACCCAGCTCTGGTGGGTACTAACTCACATTAGGGAAAACAAATACGGCTGGGCATAGTGCTGACCACATTATCCCTTCATATGCCGAGGTCTTTGCAGCAGTTGAACTCTACTTCATCTGCCGCATGTGTCTTGGGCACAAACATGAGGGGGACGCTCAGAATTTTGTGATCTGTGATGAGTGGGTCAGAAAGCGTGACATCGCACTTTTAAGAAAAAGTAATGTTAGAAACTGAATTTTAGCCGTCATTTCATATTTTAGAAAACTGTTTTTGTAAATTGTTATACACATTGATTAATGCACTCAGTATTGACTGAGCTTTGTAGATATTTTAGAAATGAAATTGAAGTTTTAAAAAAAAAAAAACTGCAGGTTTAAAGGGGTTTTAGGTCTGACATTTTATTACTTTTGTCAAACTTATTTCACTTTATAGCTGATTTATATTTACGAGCCGACCCGCAGCGTATCATACGCCGCTATTTAGTTGTTTTATTTTCTACCTTTCAGTAATTCATAATTTGTAAATTCGACAGTACCAATGCTGCCACTGAAAAATATTTGCTTTAAAACACTAACCCCCCTCCCCCCCCCCCCCCCCCCCCCCCACTTTCCCCTAACACGGACCCTACACCCCCCCCCCCCCCCCCCCCCCCCCCCCCCGCCCCCCCCCCCCCCCCCGTGAAAGCAGCCTCCTCTAAGTTATTTCTTAGTTACCTCCTGTAAGTTTAAAATCGAACTAAATAAATTATCTGCCCCTAATAGAAACCCGGCTGTATGGCTCTTCGATTTGTAAACATTTAGCTTTGTAAACATTTAGAGTGAACACCGCTCACCAGACAATGTTGGGGTGGGGTGGGGGGGTGGTAGTGATAGTGATAGAGAAAAAGAGAGGGGACTGCAAGGAGGCACTTGCAGCTTGTTTTCTAACTGATCCCAGAAGAGAATTATATATATAGATTATTACCAGCTAAATATTCCCTCCTCCACTCCTACCCTGGTTGATTTTCGTTAACATTATTTTTGGACTTTTAGTATCTAGTGTAACAATGGGGGGGTTATGGGCTAGAATTTGTGACCCACAACCTGAAATTCATAGTTCTGTGCAAATCAGATTCTTATTTAAACTCTGTCAGACACCCCAGCCTAATTGGTACTTGACTTAATTTAATTAAAGTAACCACAGGTGGGTATAGAACTGAACAATCCCGTATTTACTGAGGTGACATGAACAGGTAAACTCTACCTCATCTTTCAGAAGTGATATTTACATCTCATGATTTTTTTGTATTATTTCTGTTTTTAAAAATTCTCTCAGATCCGTGTGAGTGAAATAGCCTTTGCAAAAAGATCAGACGAATACCTGGGGCATGTTTTAAAACAGCACCTGTGCAAGTACATTGATTTTGATGCTGTTGAAAGATTACATTGTGACCCAAAGGAACGAGCCCTACCAATACCATCAGAGGACTTCTACAATGACTGGCTGGGATACAGTGAAGCTGATCTCAATGTAGAGGAGGAGACCAAAGACTTGGATCTTATCGCTCTGCTGTTACAAACAAGTAAAAATACCTTGCCTGAGGAGACAGATCCAAGCAAAAAAACATAAGAGTAAAGATGTGTTCTACCTATTATAATTGTGAAAAAGAATTATTGATAATTGTTTCCACCAGTCCAAGGTTCATAGTAACTACTTGTATACAATTTAAATTGCAATTGAATTATTATAAAATACATCACACATCACCCTGTTATCTTCTGCATATGTTAGTGGCAACATGGATCTTTAAGTTGTCCATCATAACAATATCCTGTTTTTGACACAACTGATAGTAATAGACTTGAGAGCACTCTGGATTAAGCAAAGCAGTTATCCTTTAAATCTCTAACTTGACTGAATTCAATTATTGTTTTATAACTTAAAAGTTTATTTGAGATTTTAAAACATACAAGTGTAATGATTGTGATATGAAATAAAGTCATTTGTATAGAAGTTTCCAGTTTTTATTTATATTTTTGAAAGTTGGCTTTTTCTGCTTTTGTAGTTTTGGAGAATTAGAAAAACACAAGGAAATGTTATTGTATCTGCTGCTGTAATAGCACTTGTCCTGTGTGGAATATGGCAACAATCACACCTCTTTAGGGCTACAGTAGGAGTACTTGTCCAGTGTGACATAGCAACAAGCACACTTCTTTACAGCTGTTGTCACTTTTTAATAAAAGTAGCTTCTCTAAAGAGTTTTAAAACACAATTTCTTGTTATATTGGAAATTAAATTTTTTATAATATAGTGATGGAAAAGCTTAAAGCTCGTCCTAGTTTGGTATTTACGATTGAGTTTAACTATCAAAATTGAATTATTTTTTTGGCCTTTGCAAGCTTGAAGTAAAATTCCATAATTATTTTTACTGGATTGATTACTACAGATTGTTGTTTACAAAATAAATCCATTGGCATTTTTGAATGTCAAAGCAATGACTGGCTGGATCACAATAGAGATAAGTGATTTTTGAGATATTACAGATTTTATTTTAAATTTTCTGTATTAAACGAGTGCATGACAAGAATGACATGTAAACAATGACAAAGTAGTTTAAAAATTAGTTTTTGTATTAATACAATATTTTAAAATATTATTATACAATAATGAAATTGAAAATATTTTAAATATTAGAAGTAAACGAGTGGTGTCTATAAGTTGACTGCATCAAATACAAAGTTTACAAGTTTTACTTTCTAAAAAAACAGACAATTTAAATTTTAAATATTACATTTGTCAATTTAAATGAAAAACAGTAATAAGCAGCTATATATATATATATATATATATATATATATATATATATATATATATATATAAAATAGAAAAACTCGCTTTTACCTTATTCTTTCAACAATATGCCATTTTGTCTTTTTTTTTATTAAAGCTTTTTTATTAGTATGAATGTTGACATCTAAGAACATTTAAGATGTGAGTAAAATATCTCATGATACAGTACAAAATAGTTATAAATATTAAATAACTCTCTTGTGTGGTAAAACATAAATGAGTGGGTGTTGAGGGTAAGTCTATAAGACTCCCACCTTTTAAACACATCTCACTCCTATCCAGTAATCCTATCCCAAACTATATACCTAATGAACCATATCCATATCCCTAGTCTTATCCCCATTTTAAACATTATCCACATCCTTATCAAAAAGTTATCCTTTATCTATCTCTAAATGGCTGGTGGATAATAGACCAGTGGCAAAAATTCTACTGCAGATTTTTTTTTTGGGGGGGGGGGGGGGGGGGTGCTAATGGATAATTGACCTGAAAGTGGGGGACTGGGAATGCAATGTCTTCTTCCCGAGGGTATGTGGTAAAAAATAAATGGTCTTGCTTGGTGATACTAATATTCACATTAGCCTTAGGTCATTAGTCTAGTCCTACGGTTCCTTAATTGGCCATAGAGACAGAAGAGATCTATATCAATCAACATATAGAATCTATTTGTTGATTTATTGATTATAGTATAGATTATTGTGTCATTATGGATCTACAGCTTTCCTGTTCTGTAGTAGTCCAAAATTATAAAACACCTCAGCTGTTTAAAATATTCAATTAACCTTTATTTTCTCAGCATATATCTAGATCTATCTCCATTTGACTCTTTCATTATCATCGATAATGCATGATAAGATCGATTTAGATTTGAGGGAGAAGTTCTTTAGGGAGTAAATTAAATTAAATGTTTTTAAAATATAAGGTGAAATAACAAAACCATGTGTTTGCTATCTATATTAATTTTGTTACATTTTTAGATAAAGGCGATTGAGTATTTTTATGGTCAGGTTAATGATAAAATTAATATTTAATGAACTTTTTAAGGGTTAGGTGACTATGCTTACAAAAACAGTCAATATAAAGTCCAAGGCAAAATGAAATTATAAAGCCTATTATTATATTTAAATTAAGGGAACTGTACGTTTACACTTTAAAGAGTACAGAAAGACATTATTAAATTATTTGAATAGAATCTACTTCTAGGTCTTAACTTCTAAATCTATAATATGCTGGAATCAGGCCTACTAAAATAAATAAAACACCCTAGTCATCAATCAATACTTAATACTTTATTATAAAAATAGTTTTATCATGCAGTAAATTCTGGATACTATTCAATGAGAGCAGTTAGATCTAGCCCTGCCAATTTATTATTGAATTTAAGCATAAATAAAATAAAAAAAAAAAACCTACTAAAATCTAGACCTAGATAATAGATATATAGATTTTAGATCTAGATCTATAATAATGATTGGACTTTGGTCCTATATTAAAAGAACGAAAATGTTACTATAAATAACCTCGTTGTGTTTGTTTTCGCACAGCAACCAATATGGCGTATCCACTCAAACCAACACAAAACCACAACACTGGTAATCCCAGACCCTGTTTCAAATGTAATTAACATTGGGTACAGTTCTTTTCTTAATAAAAATTATTTAAACATTGTTTTTAGTGTCGGTTAGATTTATATCCAGTCGGTTAGATCTAACATTACAAGCCAAGGCTAACCATCCAACCAACCAATTTGAATGCAATTTTGAAATTTTTGACTGAAACTGATTACTCAGGAATCAAAATCAATCCGATCAGCGCTCGTCGACTGCTGAAAAAAAGGGAGCGACTTGCGGCGCTGGCACTAAAAACTTTTCAAAAGAAGTTATTCGTTGGTCCTGGTGACAAACAATAGATTGAAAAGAAGTTATAAGTTGTTACAACTATAATATTAATTTAATATTATTAATAAAGTGTGTGTAGTTTATGAACTGCAGAAACAAGACAAAGTCTAGATCTAGACTCTAGATCTATATCTAAATAGTAATAAGTATAGTAAGTAACCGTGTAGAGTTAGTAAATAGTAGCAAGTAGAGGCAATGATAGTAATAAATTCATAAATACTAATATGATATGATTATTATATTATGATAATATAATATCAAATAATAGGCCTTTCCCAACTACATTGATGATTGATTACTATAATACTAATAGAGTTAACCAGAGTACTATAGCTCATTATGATTATAGACCTACTACTTAGTAACTAACTAGACTTTTGACTTACAGAATAATTACTAATTAGATTCGTCTAGCTCTAAGATGTCTAGATTTTAGATCTATTTCTTTCTTCTTTCTAGTTTACATAGGCCCCTACCTGCTAGTACGTTGTACATGAATTAGCTACCAATGACAGCACTGTTCTACTAAACAACACTGTGACTATGAGTGAGTTGAAGTTTTAAAAAATAAAATTACTAGTCTAAATCTAGGTCTAGGCCTATAAAATAAGTTTTTAATTTTAAAACTATTAAGAGTTGTGTTTTTATTATAGCCCTATTATAGTTTAAAATTTAAAATTAATTTTTTTTATTCGGCCCTATGCTTTTAAATTTCAATTAGGCCTAGTAGGCCTATATATTATATATTATATAGAAAATAGTATTATAGCCTATAGGTCTCCCAAAGACAAAACAACTTTTTATTGGTCAGTTTAGTGAGTATTTTTTCATTAGTGTGCTTAGTGGGAAATTATATAAGTTTCTAGTTTATGCCCACATCTCCTTTAACTCTTTCTAATATTCCGATCCTGGTGATTTGGCATGTTTAGGACTTATTTTAGGACAATTACTGTATTCTTTAGATTACAATAGATGCAGATGATAGTGAAGTTGGAGAAGAATGTCTAAAATTACCCCCATAACTACTGTTAAAATGGAAAACAATGCAAAGAAGAAAAGTTTGGGAGATGAAATTAATCCAGTCAATGAGGTAAAAATATTTTGTTACAAAATTAAAGAAAATAGAAAATATTTAATTTGTTTTATTTAGCATTTTTATGTTCTCTTGTGGGGGGAAAACAGATTTTTTCCCATTTTTAAACGATACTATTAATGCTGTTATAATTAAGGTGAGTATTACTATTAGAGTTGTAAATGGTAAAGTTTATTGTAAGATTTAACAGAGCTGCAAAGTTGAGCTTTTCTGTATACATGAAATGAGTATTTTGTATATAATTTGAGTTTTGATTCCTTTCTTTTCTTGCCTACCTCTTCCTATATATAGCAGTCTTAACAAAATATTTGCAGATTGTTATAATTGTAATATCCTATGAAAAATATTTAAGGGATGATTTAAAAATTAAAATGATATGGACCACATCTCTAAAAAAATCTATAAAATATTAAATACTTTTAAAAAAATTAATGGATGTTAAAGGACTGGAAACAAATTCATTAAGGATTTAGATGTAAATAAAAAGTTAGTATATATTTCAGAATATATATTTCAGAATCCAGAAACTCGCTTTATGTTGAACCATATAAGATGTAGGGAATGTGAGAGTTTCACAGAAAGACCAGATCAGCAGAATATGTAAGTAATTTTTATTTATTTTTATGCTGCTCAGTATTAACACAATGGTTATGGCATGTCTAAATATTAGTCTGTAGCAATACTTATAAAATTTGTTTTCTTTGAAAATAAATAAGAAATGACGCAGAGAAGCTGTGTTATTGCAACTATACCAAGGCACAGCACTTGGGTGTAAACAAATCAATCAAAGATTCCAAGTGGTCTCACATCACCCATGCTAGGCCCATACCCACCAACGCTTTTGGAGAGATAGAATTTGTTGGCTATGGTGATAATCATGCTAAGGTAAACTACCTGATTATCTTAACATTCTAAAAAAAAAATTGCTGTTAGTTATTTAAAATAATAAATGTATGCTTATAGCCCAAGTAATAAGATTGCTCTTGAGAGTAAATTGTAAATTATTAGCTGTAAGAGTGTAAGCTAGACTGCTAACCTGCAAGTATTGAGTTCGAATTTGGGTTGAAGTCAGTAGAACATCCCATTGATGGGCACCTAACTCACCTTAGGGAAAATATAGGTTGCTGGGCATAGTGCTGACCACACTATACCTTTATATACTGAGGTCACAGAAACAGGGGAACTCTACTTCACTTGCCCCATGGACCAACAGGTTTTGAAAAGGGAAGTAACAATGTAAGTAACCTTGAAACAGAAAAAACAGTTATCTCAACACTTTGAGAATCCCTGCTTTCAAGTAATTGAGAACAACTTCTAATGATTTACCAACTGGGCTAAAGAAAAGAATATATTTGATTAGCAGTAGCTCGTTTTTTTTATTTCTTTCATTAATGCTGTTTATGTTTGTTTAGTATAATTAAACAAAGTTAGTAAAGTATTTTTCAAAATGTTTTTTTATTTTTATTAGGCCATGGGTTAAAAGTTTCAGGTACTAATTTAATTGTATTATAAAATCATTTAATTACTCCATAATTGAATACATGATATCATATTTTGTTAGTTTGTTCGAGTTGATGTGGAGACTAAGATGGACACTATGTTAAATCTTTTACAACAAGCCTGGGGGATGGAGAAGCCCAACTTGCTTATTTCAGTCACTGGTGGCGCTAAAAACTTCACTATGAAGTCCAGGTTGAGAGATGTCTTTAGGCGGGGCCTCATTAAAGCTGCTCAAAGTACAGGTAAATACAGGTTGATGTCTTTAGGTGGGGCCTCATTAAAGCTGCTCAAAGTACAGGTAAGTCCAGGTTGAGAGATGTCTTTAGGCGGGGCCTCATTAAAGCTGCTCAAAGTACAGGTAAGTCCAGGTTGTCTTTAGGCGTTGCCTCATTAAAGCTGCTCAAAGTACAGGTAAGTCCAGGTTGTCTTTAGGCAGGCCTCATTAAAGCTGCACAAAGTACAGGTAAGTACAGGTTGAGAGATGTCTTTAGACAGGGCGGGCCTCATTAAAGCTGCACAAAGTACAGGTAAGTACAGGTTGAGAGATGTCTTTAGACGGGGCCTCATTAAAGCTGCTCAAAGTACAGGTAGGTACAGGTTTAAAAAAATGTTAGGTGGGGCCTCATTAAAGATGCACAGTGTACATATAAGTACATTAATTATAGCTGCACATAGCACAGGTAAGTCCAGGTTGTCTTTAGGTGGGGCCTCATTAAAGCTGCACAGAATACAATGTAGATGAAAAACATCTCACTGAAAAATGTGAGTCTACATCTGCTAAATAGTAGGACCAGTGAAACGTTTAAATTCACACCTGTTAAGAAGCCTAATTTAAATCAACTTAATCAATTTAAACTTATTTTTATGTCAAATCTTATAAGCTTTAATTCCTGTAACCTAGTTCAGAATTTCTCTTGTTGAATTCCTTTATAATAAACTAATTTTATGGTTAAGGCTAGATGTTAAAAGTTAAAAAAGAATACTGTTTTAGCTTACTAGCTAAAATTATGAGTAACATTTCTCATGGTTTCACTTTTTGTGCTGTATGTCTCAGGTGCCTGGATAGTCACAGGGGGAACTAACGCTGGCGTCATGAAGCATGTTGGGGAGGCCGTGAGAGATTTTGGTTTGACCAGCGAACGGAAAGTAACGACAATTGGCATCGCACCATGGGGATGTGTACAAAATAAAGAACTTCTTATCAATGTAAAATTACAAAGTTTAAAAAATATAACTGTATTTACATTTTTAGTTTCTTTCACCATATAATTTCATAAGTGTTATGTTGCATCGATTGTCCTTTCTTGTCAACGTAAAATTTTAAAACTTTTAAAATATAACTGTATAATTATATGCATTATTGGTTGCTTTCACCTTAAAAATTTATATTTTATGTTGTATCAATTGTCCCTAGACCCACCAGCCTTCCCCCACCCCCCTCATTAAATCAGAGAAAGTTAAGTAAATTCACCATTCTGTTTGCAACATTATCCTTTCAGATGTTGTAGCCCCATACCTAGAGAACTCTTAAACTTAAGTTCTTACCTCCTAAGGCATTATGAAAATCTAAAAGCTTTAACAAACTTTGTATTCCCATTTCCAGAAAGAGGGGCAGTGGCCAGCCTATTACAGAATAGAGAACGAAGCCAAACCCAAACAGTCGTTCCTAGATCCAAACCACTCCCATTTTATTTTGGTGGATAATGGAACTCAGCAGCAGTTCACTGTGGAGATCCCATTCAGGGCAAAACTGGAGGAAAAAATTGGCAATCAAAAAACTGACACAGGGACAGGTTAGTTTTTTAAATTTATTTATACTTTTTCTGTTTCTTAAGATTTAGAATAAAAGTTTCAGGTTATAGAAAAAAATAATAATCCTCTTTCCAGTAGAAAGGGGGGAACATTAAATTGTAAGATTGATATGGCCAGTTATGTGTCCATCTTCACTTGCTAGTTTTTAAGTTCCCAGCTACAGTGAATTGTGGACTTCAGCAAATGAAAAAGTGACCTATACTCCCATAATAACTTTAGCGAAATGCGTAGCCTAGCAGTGGAGAGCTAGACTGCTAACCCATTAGTTTCAAGTTGGAATCCGGGTTCAAGTTAGTGGAACGTCCCTGAGTCCACCCAACTCTAATGGGTACCTAACTAACATTAGGGATAGTAAAGGCGGTTGGGCATAGTGCTGACCACATTATCCCTTTATATGCCGAGGTCAAGAAACATATGAACTCCACTTCTACTTTACTTTAGTAATATTTACAACATGATTACTGACTTCCGTTAGATGCTGTTTCTGTGCCAGTTTGTCTGCTTGTGCTAGAAGGTGGGCCTGGCACACTGGAGACGGTCAATTCAGCAATTTCTAGCAATACACCTACCATTATAATCAAGGTAAATTCTACTAAAAGTTATTCGCAATTCATTTTTTATATTTTTGTTGTAAAAATTGAAATTACATTTTTAAATTTTATATGAATTATTTTGATTTTTAAATATTTATTTATAGAGAAGTAAATACAACTTTTTAAAAATGTTACATGTGACTTTTATGATGGTTAAATTTAATAAGTTAATTTTGACAAAAATAACAAAAATTTAAATATTTTCCAGGGGTCTGGTAAGACAGCAGACATCCTGGCATACGCTTATCAAAATTCTAAGGAGGAAGAAATTACAAAGTCTGATCAAAATGGGTTACAAGTCAAAGGGTGAATATTTATCTTTCAATAAACGCACTCATAATTGGTTGATTCAAATTTCATTTAGGTTAAAGTTCAAATACTTTTTTCACACTGACTGAACAAAGGGGCCTCACCAGATCCAGCTGGATGGACTTGATGTAACGTAGCCAGTTAAACATCAGATTTAGATCAGCTGAAGGATGGTGTTAAAATTCCAGCTACAAACCTCTCTCATGACTCGTGTGTTCACCACGACCAGAGTACATTGTCCCACCAAGTTGAATTTATTTTGACTGAATATTTATTTAAATTGTTCCATGTATTCCAATTATGTAGGACAATCTCAAAGCTAGAACCTCACATTATGGCAGAGATCAGGACAATGATAAAGTTCCAGATTTTTCCCACGTTTTCTTTAACTTGCTTTCTCTGTTTGTCTTTCCAATCAAATCTTGCGATCAAAATTTCTGGCACTTCCCAGTTAGCTAGCGCGCTGAAATTTTCAGGGAAGCTTTCTTTTGGATGACCATAGAATATTCAATTGTTATTATTACTAAATTGATCAATGGAAACATTTTATTGAGCATTTTAGACCGCTATATAATCTATATATATAATTCTCCTCTGCGAGCCATTAGAAAAAAAACGAGCGACGCGTAGCTCGCCTCTCTCTTGCCGCGCGCAGTGACGCGAAACGATCCCACGTCGCGACAGGCTTAGGGGCAGATAATTTAGTTTGAACCGACTTTAAACTTACAGGAGGTAACTATTACCACTGGTGGCCAGTTTGGGGGAGACGATATGGTCGAGTGGTTGGGCACACGATTGCTATCCCACTCGACACGGGTTCAAATCTATGTGTTCTAGTCAGTAACCAGCCCTCGTCCTAACCGCTATCAACTAACCTCTGACAATCATTCACTTGCGATTGAGACCGAAGAAGAAAGGGTCTCTCGTTTTTTACGAGTTGTCTTTTTACGAGTTGTCTTCGTTTACCCAATAAAAAGTGAAAAGATAAAATCGATAGCAAGATTTCAATGCAAACAAACAGACAAAGACTAAAAAGTAGAAAATAATAATCATTAAAAAAGTTTTAAAAAAACCACGTTTTCTGATTGAACTAAAAAGTAGAAAATAAATACTATACATCACAATAATGCAAGCGATCACTCTACTATAAGCGATGAAAAACGTGGGGCGCCGTGATTTTCTTACAGTTTCTAATACTGTTGACTCTCTACAAGCTCCCTAATAAAAGTCAATAGTATTATCTAATCAATAGTAATATAACTTTTACTTCGGCGCCCCACGTTTTTCATCGCTTATAGTAGAGTGATCGCTTGCATTATTGTGATGTATAGTATTTATTTTCTACTTTTTAGTTCAATCAGAAAACGTGGGTTTTTTTAAACTTTTTTAATGATTATTTTTATTGTTTCTTGTAACCCATCAGAGTTTTAATTGTTTTATTGTATTTTATCCAAGTTTTAATTGCTCCATGTATTTCATCCAAGTTTTTTATTGTTCCATGTACTCTAATCATGTAGGACAATCTCAATGCTAGAACTTCACATTATGGCAGAGATCAGGACAATCATTAAGAAAATTGTTCCATGAAATCCATCCAAGTTTTAAATTGTTTCATATATTTCATCCAAGTTTTAAATTATTGTTCCATGTATTCCATCCAAATTTTAATTGTCAATGTACCCTATTTGTGTAGGACAATCTCAATGCTAGAGCCTCACATAATGGCAGACATCAGGACAATGATCAAGTCCCAGTTTGGGGACCAGGACCTGGACAAGAGGGTCGACTGGATCAAAAACAGTTGCAGCAAGAGGGATCTCATAACTGTGTTTGAGCTGGATTCCAAGAATTCTGCTAAAGATGTGGACTTAGCTATTTTAAAGGCTCTGTTGAAAGGTATTTATACTAGTCACTTGTACATTATACATTTTTAGTTGTTATCTGGGTTTACTAATTAAAGACTGTTTATTGTGAAAACTTTTCAAAATTATTTTTTATAAGTGAGAAAATATGAGTTTGAAGCTAGATGATTTGTATCCAAGAATAAAAAAAAACATCTTTTAATTATGTTATACATTTACAAAAACTTTTAGAATCAAAGATGTCACTCAAAAACCTGAGTTATCTCTCTTATAATATATGCATATTACAACCTGCATTATTTCTCTTACAAAAGCAGTGAAACCCCAAGTAATTCATTTTAAAATCTTTTATTTTATTTTCACACTATTATAATAATACATGCTGATAGACTTATTTTTTTAAAACAGCCAACAAAAATCAAGTTATGGATCAGCTAAAATTAGCTTTGGCATGGAACAGAATTGATGTGGCAAAATCAGAAATTTTCACTGATGAAAAAGTTTGGCCTGTAAGTTTGACAAAAGCTAAATCTGGCTCACTCCCATCCTACATTCAACACAGGTTTACAACTTGATTAAATGACCTTTTGCTACTTAATCTTAAATGTACTCCCACTAATTTTTTCAACTGTTCTGGACCTGTACAGACTGGCATGCTGGATGATGTCATGCTGTCGGCCATTAAACTCAACAGGGTGGACTTCGTTGAGTTGTTTCTGGACCACGGTGTGAGCCTAAAAGAGTTCCTTACAGTTGAAAGGCTTGTACATCTATACAACTCAGTAAGTGCCTAACAGTATGACATACATTCTTATCATATTTAATGCTAAAATTGTATTTTTAAATGATGCAGCTTGTATTTGATTTTTAGTAACATTTTTATTTATTATCACATCTTTATACCTTACTATGACTAATTAATATATACATCTAATTTTTAAATGAGCATCTATTATCTTGCTTAATTAGTTATATTTGTTCACGAATTTCCGAATTTATTTTTATAATCAATAAACTATCACCATATTGTTAGTAATTTTTCGCAGTCTTTTTTCTCTTTTTAAAAAGTATTTATATCATGGTAATTTTGCAAATACAATTTGGTTTTAAGTTTTCCTAACTGACTTTGTACATATTCATCCAATTTGTAAAGGTTGAAAAGTGAGTTTAGTCTTAAATATTTTAGCCAATTACATTTCTACTATGTGAATTCACAAGGATTCTGAAATAATAATAGTGAAGGGATGAGGAATATCATTTTTTTGTGAAATTCATTCAACACCAATTCCCAATATGGTTAAACTATAATGTCCTGCTTTTTTGTGTTACCTAAGCCTAGTCTTTTTTGTATATAGAGTTTTAATTAAATGTTTTTTTTTGTTTTAGATTCCACAGAACTGTCTGTTGTATACTTTATTAAGAAGTCGGAAGAAACAAAGAGTAAGAAAATTGTTTTATTTTTAATGTTAATATATTTATTATAATTAAAAAGAACAACAGCTCATGAAGATATAAATGTAAATTTTTGTACATTCTGACTTTAGTGTTATTTATAACATAAAAAGTATTTTGGAAATGACACATTAATTTTTTAAAATTTAATTACTATCAGTAATTGAAGTTATTTGCATGTTTTTTTATGTTATTACTATCTTGATAAATTTATATCATTTATTACTTTGTTTCAATAAGCTACCAAGAGAAATTGTTGTTGCATAATGTTTATATTATATATTTATATTATTATTTTTCTCCTATTTTTAAAGGAAAAAGCAGAACATAAGGTAAAATTAGCATAGATATCTTTTAAATTATAAATACCTATTTAAATTATAATTGAAAGTTATAGCCTATTTGTAAATAAACCCTCTTTCATTGCCTATAGATAACTTGAGTTTTATTTTTTATTTTTAAAATGTTAAACAATTTCAGCAAGTTTACTTTTTAAATAAAGGTAATTTCTTATAAATGATTAATTTACTTTCATGTTAAACGGTTATTTTTTGGTATTTTTTTGTTGTTGTAGTAGATACTTACTTGAAAATTAAAAAAAAAATTATTTAAAAATTATTGATTCAGTTTATGAGTTCTAGTTTCTTTTCCACTTGAATTATTTGTTTAAATATAACAAAAAATTGAACATAATATGGTAAAATTTAAAAAATGAAGCTTAGCAAAGTTAGCCCAACTTTAGATTACTTGGAGCATATAACTTAAAAAAAAATCTGAATTAGTGAAGTGTTACTGACAGAAAGCTTTCCATGAAAGTAAAGACTAAGTCAATATTAAACTTAATATACATAAATGATGTTTTGGATCCAATAACTGTCCAAATTTAAAATAAATCCTATATTTCAGTCACATTAATTAGCGAACATCTCCTTGCAAATTTAATGTTTATCTTGGTCGTACTTTCAAATTGAAGTAGGCCACTCATTGTGTGTATATATATATATATATATATATATATATATATATATATATATATATATATATATATATATATATATATATATATATATATATATATATATATATATATATATATATATATATATATATATATATATATATATATATATATATATATATATAATTTTAAAATGAAGCACATACATACATACTTTCAGAGCAACTTTACTCTAGCTGATGTTGGCTATTTGATCCAAGAACTTTTAGGTGACTTCTACGTGCCAACTTATCTGACAAACAGAAAACTGCATGAAACAGCTGACCACTCTGTCAGTGGTCTCAAGAATAATGACATGAACCATAATAGTGACCACTTGGGTAAGTTAAGTCTAGGTTATTTCTGTTTAAAAACTACACCGCTACGTAGGCATATGAAGTAAAAGAGGATGTAATTCATTCGCTTTATTTAAACCTATAGGCCTAACAATGGTACTCAGTGGGCCTTAAATGACCAAACAAGCTGAATCTTTTAATTAGATCTGGTTATGCCCAGTATTATAACTATAATGACCATACTAGCTTATTCTTTTAATTAGATTTGGTTATGCCCAGTATTATAACTATAATGACCATACTAGCTTATTCTTTTAATTAGGTCTGGTTATGCCCAGTATTATAACTATAATGACCATACTAGCTTATCCTTTTAATTAGGTCTGGTTATGCCCAGTATTATAACTATAATGACCATACTAGCTTATTCTTTTAATTAGGTCTGGTTATGCCCAGTATTATAACTATAATGACCATACTAGCTTATTCTTTTAATTAGGTCTGGTTATGCCCAGTATTATAACTATAATGACCATACTAGCTTATTCTTTTAATAAAGGTCTTGTTTACTACAGATGAAATGTTTCATACATTACATTTTTTTTTAATGAAACCTTTACTTTCTTGCTTAATTATGCGTATTACTTAACTGAAACCTTAAAATATGAAATTTTCTTATGAGTTATTAGCTTTAGCAGTTTTAATTTAATTTTTTTGTTTTTTTTGTTTGTTTGTAAGATCAGGTATTTGGTAGATTGTGAAATTTTACTGTTTGTTTAGTGGTGCTTGTACCAATAATGATTCTGTAATTATGTATTAACTCATGCTTTATGTTTGTTTAAGGTGGCAGATATTACTTCCCTAACCCTGCTCAAGAACTGTTTATATGGTCAGTGCTTATGAACAATCACAAATTATCAAAACTGTTTTGGGTTGAAGGAAAGGTAACTCTAACATTTTATAACATAGTTTTTTTTTTTTAATTATATAATGTAACCGTAGTTGAATTTTGTCTTGAGCTAAACTATTGTCTGCTAACTTTTAACTCCCAGGAGTGCTCCACTGCTGCTTGTCTGTTTGCTAACAGCATTTTAAACTCACTCCAAGCTCACACTTTTGATGCTCAGGTCAAGGCCAAATTTCAAATGGCAGCAGAGTAATGAGAACACTTTTTTTTATAACTTTTTATTTAGATTTGCAACTTTTATTTAACATCTGTTTATGTTGATTCCTTAGTTTTCATTAACTATTTATCTTTAAATATAATTGGCCTTTCATTAATTCATAAAAAAACAACAACAGAATTTTTATTTTCTTACTAAATTAACCAAATTTAACAAAGACATAACTGCAGTTGCAGGTCATCCATAAATGAGAGAAAGAGGGGGGGGGGGGGGGGGAATTCAGGCTTGTGTGATTGAAGGAAAGGGGGTTCAGGAAGTATAGTTTTGCATTTTAAAAAGTAATTTTTGAGAACAATTATTTTCCCATTTTAAAATGTTTTATTTAAATTGTAATGAAATTTTTCTTGTATTTAATCTTGAATATTTTAAAACAAAAATCTTGCTTAAAACGCTTGGGGGGTGGGTGGTTTAGAATGAAGTGTAAAGGCATTCATGTGTGTGTGTGGGGGGGGGGGGGGATGTCTAACTTTTTGTGATGTTGAGGAGAAGGTAATTTAAGAATCATCAAAATAGCATAACATCATTTAAGGGTGCCCCCATTATGGGTTAGTAAAATCCATAAAACCCATTTAAAAAAAAAAATTGAAATATACTAGACTAGGTAAAAAAAAAAAACAAATTCTATTCTCAGTGACTATGGTCAGCTGGCTATTGGGGTCATCAACAACTGCTACAGCTCCGACGAGAAGCGGACCCACAAGCTGCTTGTGTACGTCATGCCCCAGTGGGGCTGGACCACCTGTGTCCTGATGGCCATTAAGGCAGACAACAAGGAGTTCATCGCCCAGACAGCTTGCCAGTCACTGCTCAACAAATTGTGGATGGGAAAAATGACGAAATACAATAGTCTTTTGTCTGTATGTAACACAGAGTCTACACTTGCGACGTATGCTATACACATCTAGAAAAAAAAACCTGACAATAAGTTAATTTTATTAGAACATGTATAGAGGGACCTACTCACTTATGGCAAAACATTTTCAAGACATGTATAGTATACATGCTGCAAGTGCAAGTGTAAATGTAGTATAAACGTTGTCCATTTTGTCAGTGTGTATTTAGGTAGGGCCTACTTATGGATGTGCTTTTAGGTTTTATAGTAGGATTATTTTCTGGTATCACTTCCCTAATCCCTTAGTTATTAATCTAACAACAGTAACAACAAAAGCACACACCAATCCTCACATGCATGCATGTCTGCACACAACCCACACCACCCACACGTACATCCCATATATAATTCATCTACAATATGCTGTTTTAAAAGCACTGATTTCTTGTTTTTTAACAGATTGTTCCCGCTATTGTTATGCCACCATTGATCCAAGTTTTGATTGACTTCCAAAAGAAAAATAAACCAAAAGAATTGTCTGCTGATTTTGCTTCAGGGGTGAGTGGAAACTTACACCATGCAGCCTATAAATATAAAATTGTCATGCTTTAAACTTTATTTTTTTAATGATTGTTTTAAAAAAAAGCCAGTATAATTGTAGGGTGCATTTTAAGCACATTTGAAGCCTTTGAAATTTAAAAAATGGCTTTCAAAAAGTTAATACTTTTAGGTTTGAAATTAAAAAAAAAAAAAGGAATTGACCCTATAAAAACATGGAATAGAAAACAGAGTAAATTAACTTATTATATAGATCTGTAAGAAATCACTAAAACCCATGCTTTAGGAAAGTACCAGCAGAGACTCTAATAAATAATTCAAGATGTTAAAAATCTGCCCAATTTTATAAATGAAGTCAGTAAATTTTTTGTTGTTCTAAATTCTATCAGATACAAGCTCCTGTAGAAGTAACTATCTAGGTTTCATGAATTTATTACTTTATAAGCAAACAGGAAAACATGTAACTTTATAATTCTGTTACTTTTTAAAAATAACTTAATGATATTTTTTTTTTTTTTAAATTTTTTGCAGAAAGAAAAAGATTTGAAAAGACAGCAGACTGTGTATAGCTTGCAGTAAGTTTTGTTTTTATTTTCATATTTGTTTATTGGCTTACTTGTTCAGTAGCTCCTATAGGATGAAATGGTTGAGTGGTACAGTACATGACTGCAATCCCAAAGTCTCAGAATCAATTCATATAGAGAGACCTTGAGTCCAATAGCATCTAAATAATAGCTAAATCTGGTAAAGTAAAGGCTGTTGAGCTTAGTATTCACCACACTTACTGTGTAAACATTTTGTGTTTTTAGTTATTTTGTTTCAAATTTTATTCCATTACTCATTGTAATCATTCTTACAAAAAAAAAATTATACTGCTAAAAACTATAGGCCTAATTAAATTTTTGTTTAGACCTCAAGTGCTTGAAAAACCTGCCAAGTTTAACCTGAATGACACCATACAGAAATGGGCTTATTTTTACAGTTCTCCAATTGTTAAATTCATCACCAATGTTGTAAGTCTCATCTGCCCTTTGTTAGTTTCTCTATTGAATTGTCTACCTTTAGAAATTTTTTTTCTGTGAATAGGGGAGTCAATGAATGCAATTAACAATTTTTCTATATTTATTAAAGTAACAAAGTTTTCCTGAGTTTCTTAGTAAAAAGTTGTTTGATTGCTAACTTGATGCCTGGATTTTTTTTAAAGTTTAAAATTATGTAACATTACAAAAGTAGCTAAGTGATAAATTCAACTTTGTTTATTAAAGAATGTGTTAAATTGTAAAAATGCAATTTAGGGGTAATTTATATTACAAATAATATCTAAGCCATAGGTCTTCCTTAGCACACTACGGTACATTTAGCATAAAAACAAATAGATACAAAATGAGAGAATTTCAACATTCAGTTTTTTTGCTCACAATTTATGTTGCACATGCATCGCTGAAGAGTTTCTGTTTTTTACTGGGTTCCTTTAGTGTTTGATAATTAAGTAGGCTATACATAAGTCAGGTATAAACCATATATATTAAAGCTAACATGATTTGCTATACCATAAGGCTAAGCAAATTTAATATAAACAGGTTATTTACATACACTTTGAGAAATTTTATACCATTCTCTATTTATCACTTATAATATATACAATTTGCCGTATATCACATAAAATAGTACATAATGTTCTTTCCCTCACAGGTATTTTACCTGGTCTTCCTGATGTTGTACAGCTATGTTTTGGTTGTTAAACTGACCAGTGAGTTTGTCTATCAGGAAGGTATTCTCATCGTGTGGGTCGCTACTATTTTCACTGAAGAACTGCGACAGGTAATATACAACTAATTAACATCTGTTTACTAATATTTTGACAATAATTCATAGACAGTTATATAAATTTACCACAAGAATAATCTTTTTGTTTTGTTTTGTTAACAACATTGTAAAATGATTTCTGAATCAAAATTACAATGAATAAATTTAAACAGTTATTTATAAAAGTTGATTGTTTTCATCTAAAAAGCTATGTTAAATATAAATAGAGATTAATATTTAATAAATCGCTCTAAAATTTGATTGAAAAATTAATTAAAGCACATTTTTTTTATCCTCTAATTTGGTTTTTTAAAAAAAACTACATCTATTTTTTTCATGAAACAATTACAAATTTGGTTAACAGTTTTTTACAGGAGCTGGGCATTCCCTCAAGTCACAAATAGAATCTTACTTCAGTGACAAGTGGAACTGGCTGGATATGTTCTCAATATTTCTCTTCATTGTGGGAATGATTCTCCGAGCCATACCCAACGACGACACCCTGAGCGCAGCTAGAGTCATCCTCAGCATAAACCTCATCACGTTTTTCTCCCGCATACTTCACATTTTCTCCATCAACCAGGAACTTGGGCCCAAGCTTGTGATGATCAACAGAATGGTGAGGTGTTTTGTTACTGTTTTGGTTGTCTTCATTATAAATGTTTCATACGGCTGTTTTCAACAACTCTTTCATATAATATGAAAGAGATATAATTAATTCCTCAGTAATTTATAACCTATAAAAGCTCTTGTCATTGGCCTATGTTCTAGGAGGGGCAACAAGCTACTTAACCTAACCTAAACTAATATGATTGTAATCTCAGTATGAAATTGTGAGGTCAGTTCTAGGAATTGTAGACTTTACTTTTTCTAACAATTGCTGGGTGAACTCCGAGAAGTCTAAGTCATTCTGGCTAAAGTTAACAGAAGTGTGTTCTAAGCCATTCAAGCTAAAGTTATCAGTAGTGTGTTCTAAGCCATTCAAGCTAAAGTTATCAGTAGTTTGTTTTAGGTCATTCTGGTAAAACTTATCAGTAGTGTGTTCTAAGTCACTCTGGTAAAACTTATCAGTAGTTTGTTCTACCACTCTACAAAGTTGTCTCATTTGAGGTTGGACAGGATTGGATTTAAACCCCCTGTTTGTGGATAACTTTTCTATCGGTGGCTATTTATCTTGACTAAATACCAATTCAACTTATTTTGTTAACTTCAAAATATTAAAATTTGAAAACCACAAGTTACTATAAAAGGAATTTTTAAAAATTTAATATTGAAGTGGTTTGTTGTTATACTGCTGGTTTTATCATGGCCTATGCTGTGGTTTTATGGAAAAGTTTACGACAAAATTTGTTTCATTTCTCATCAGATCCAAGATTTGAAGTGGTTTGTTGTTATACTGCTGGTTTTATCATGGCCTATGCTGTGGCTCTATGGAAAAGTTAATACAAAATTTGTTTCATTTCTCATCAGATCCAAGATTTGAAGTGGTTTGTTGTTATACTGCTAGTGTTTATCATGGCCTATGCTGTGGCATCAGAAGCCGTGCTGTATCCTAACTCTGAACTCAGCTGGAAGCTGCTTTACTACTTTCCCAGAAAAGCTTACTGGCATATTTATGGGGAACTCTTTTTAGATGACATTGAAGGTATTTTTTTTTCTGATTTTTCATTGGAGAAGATAACTCAGTACATCTTACCAAATGTCAGGAGTAGTTTTAATACAATTTTTAAAAGATTTCTAATTTACTCAAAGTTCTGATTACTATATGACTATGTACTCATTTGAAACCATCTCTCGTCACCTAATCTGGAGCTAAAAATCCAAAGAAATGTCTATTAGTCTTATTTTTTGAGAGCCTGTAATTTTTTTAAATGCTTATTGAAATTATAAAATAACATTTTTTCATTTTTATCCAACACACTGTTCCTTTTAAAATTTGTAAAAAAAAAATCAGCTTATAAATGAGTATATAATAAAAATTATGAATACATTTATATCAGTAATTTTTAGTGGTGCTATCTAATATACAATTAATTAAAATATAATGAAAAACATAGTGTCTTGAAATTGGTTTCGCAAGAAGATTGAAAATGTTTTAAACGTATGTATTGTAAGATTATGTTTTCCTATAAGTATAAGAATAATTTATTTCAAAAACATTGAATCAAGTAGATTGTGAGTGTTTGTAAATTTGAGCAATAGATTGTGAGTGTTTATAAATTTGAGCAATAGATAGTGAGTGTTTGTAAATTTGAACAATAGATTGTGAGTGTTTATAAATTTGAGCAATAGATTGTGAGTGTTTATAAACTTGAGCAATAGATTGTGAGTGTTTATAAACTTGAGCAATAGATTGTGAGTGTTTATAAATTTGAGCAATAGATTGTGAGTGTTTATAAATTTCAGCAATAGATTGTGAGTGTTTGTAAATTTAAGCAATAGATTGTGAGTGTTTGTAAATTTGAGCAATAGATTGTGAGTGTTTGTAAATTTGAGCAATAGATTGTGAGTGTTTTTAAATTTGAGCAATAGATTGTGAGTGTTTGTAAATTTGAGCAATAGATTGTGTTTGTAAATTTGAGCAATAGATTGTGAGTGTTTGTAAATTTGAGCAATAGATTGTGAGTGTTTGTAAATTTGAGCAATAGATTGTGAGTGTTTATAAATTTGAGCAATAGATAGTGAGTGTTTGTAAATTTGAACAATAGATTGTGAGTGTTTGTAAATTTGAGCAATAGATTGTGAGTGTTTATAAACTTGAGCAATAGATTGTGAGTGTTTATAAACTTGAGCAATAGATTGTGAGTGTTTATAAATTTGAGCAATAGATTGTGAGTGTTTATAAATTTCAGCAATAGATTGTGAGTGTTTGTAAATTTAAGCAATAGATTGTGAGTGTTTGTAAATTTGAGCAATAGATTGTGAGTGTTTGTAAATTTGAGCAATAGATTGTGAGTGTTTTTAAATTTGAGCAATAGATTGTGAGTGTTTGTAAATTTGAGCAATAGATTGTGTTTGTAAATTTGAGCAATAGATTGTGAGTGTTTGTAAATTTGAGCAATAGATTGTGAGTGTTTGTAAATTTGAGCAATAGATTGTGAGTGTTTGTAAATTTGAGCAATAGATTGTGAGTGTTTATAAATTTGAGCAATAGATTGTGAGTGTTTGTAAATTTGAGCAATAGATTGTGAGTGTTTATAAATTTGAGCAATAGATTGTGAGTGTTTATAAATTTGAACAATAGATTGTGAGTGTTTGTAAATTTGAGCAATAGATTGTGAGTGTTTATAAATTTGAGCAATAGATTGTGAGTGTTTATAAATTTGAGCAATAGATTGTGAGTGTTTATAAATTTGAGCAATAGATTGTGAGTGCTTATAAATTTGAGCAACCCGATTGTAACCCCAGCACCTCTATGTCCAGGGTCAAGCACGTGTACAGATGACCCCACGCAGTACTCAGACTACGATGTGCTCAGGTGTCCGTCCCCGGTGGGAAAATATTTTGTCCCCATTCTACTTGGTCTGTACATTTTGATGACCAATGTCCTGCTGCTCAATCTTCTCATTGCCATGTTTAGGTAAGCTTTAGAATTCACGACTGTCTTACATCACTTAATTAATTTTAAAAGTAATTTATTTTATTATACGTTTCAACTGATTAAATTGTATTTTCTTTTTTTTTTTTGTTTACTGCCCGTGACTTTTGGATTCACTAAACCCCTTTGGCTAATTTAGAATTTTTTCAGTTTTAAAGCTTTTTTAGCACAGATTTTAATAGCAAAAGCAAATTTACTAAATGGCTTCTATATATCAGACTTTAAAAAAGAATTTTGATATGTTAAAACTTAGATATAAAAATTCCATGAAAGATGTTTGCACAGATGAACAAATAATTAGATATAAGTAAAATGACAAAACATGAAATCCTAGCCCACATCATATATTCAGCTCTAGTTTAAAATAGCCAGAGGTGCAGTGTTGCTCACTACAGTGACTCATTCCAACTTGGATGGTCAGTTATGCAACAGGTAAATTTAAAAACTAAAACAATATTTGAGATATTGTTGAACTAAAATCGCTTGTCAACAACATTTTTTGTAACATTTCTATATCTTCTTTTTTATTTTGACATTTTATAACATTGATTACCATCTCAGATTAGGGGTTATTTTGGTAGGGTTGGAAAAACTCATGGAGTTCCTGAGTTCAAACCCCTGGACAGAAGATGTTGGATAGTTGGGGGAAGCAACTCATCTAGGAGAGACAACTCCAAAATTAAACAATTGCCGCCTTGTAGTTGGATAAAGACTATGAAAGCAAATCCACAAAAAAAAGAAGACTTAAATTGTGTTGGTGGAAATTCCTTCCATCATTACAATTATGAAAGAAGAAGAGGATTTTAGTTTAGAGATATTACTTAAAACAAACTTTATAAATAATTAGATTATAGATGATTTGGCCTAAGTAGCCTACCTTTGCATTAGTATTTGTTTATCCAACTAAATTCTTCATCATCATCATTCCTGTGGACCCGTTATGCCTTATAGAGCATAGGGGTGCAACCACAATTCCTTGGGCAATTCCTCCAAGTTGGGATACAATTTTAAATCCCTTTTTATTTCCAGCTTCACCTTCCAACAAATCCAGGACAACACGGACATGCACTGGTGTTTCCAGAGGTTCAACCTGGTCCTGGAGTACACAGAGAGGCCAGTGCTGCCCCCTCCTATGATCATCCTCTCCCACATCTACCTCGTGTTTCAGTACTGCTGCCGCAGGTCACCTGACCAGCAGGCAGAGTCCAGTGAATTTAGTAGGTCATTAGGTCATTAGTCTAGGGAATTTAGTAGGTCATTGGGTCATTAGTCTAGGGAATTTAGTAGGTCATTAGGCCATTAGTCTAGTGAATTTAGTAGGTCATTAGTCTAGTGAGTTTAGTAGGTCATTAATTCAGTGAATTAAATAAGTCATTATGTCATTAGTCTAGTGAATTTAGTAGGTCATTAGTCCAGTGAATTTAGTAGGTCATTAGGTCATTAGTCTAGTAAATTTAGTATGCCATTAGGTTTTTAGCTCAGTGAATTAAGTAGGTCATTAGGGCAGTGAATTTTGTAGGTCATTGGGACATTAGTCCAGTGAATTTAGTAGGTCATTAGGTCATTAGTCTAGTAAATTTAGTATGCCATTAGGTTTTTAGCTCAGTGAATTTAGTAGGTCATTAGGGCAGTGAATTTTGTAGGTCATTGGGACATTAGTCCAGTGAATTTTGTAGGTCATTGGGACATTAGTCCAGTGAATTTTGTAGGTCATTAAGACATTAGTCCAGTGAATTTAGTTGGTAATTAGTTCATAAGTACAAATCCCATAAATTTAGGAAGCCATTCTGACATAGCAGTTATGTGTTGAGATCAAGTGTATTTCTAAATCAATTTATATGATAATTTGGGGGATGGTGAGGGGGAATTGGGTCCATAACTTTTCTTACCTTCAATAACTGAAGAGCACATCATAACATCTATTAATAGAGTGGGATGTGAGGGAAAAAAGAAGAAAAAAGCATCTACTGACAGGGTACTGAGTTGGCAATTTCATGTCCAAGACACAACTGACCACAATGGCTAAAAACTAAATACTTTTTAAGTCAATTAATTACTGAACCACTAATGATTTGACTTATCAAGAACACATTATTCCATGCTACCCCAGGGAAAGTTTTTAAGAACAAAGATTTTGAGAAAAAGTTGATGCAGTGGGAAGACATCATAGCTGATAACTTTCTCAGCATCAGAGAAAAAACAGAACGGAACAGTTTGGAGGGCAGGGTCAAAGCATCATTGGAAAGGTCAGTATGTCAAGGTCACAAGAAGCAACCATCTTGGCTTCATGTTGTGTTGTGATTTTACAGTATACAGTTTAAGTTTTCAATACTGAGGTGGGTTTACTTTGCAAGGTAGAAAAAAAATTGTCTGAAATTTTGAGGTGTTCATCATCTTTTCCTGTTCTTGCTCATGACACATGTCGCAGATGAAGTAGAGTTAACCTGTTTCAATGACCTTGGCATATGAAAGGATAGTGTGGTTAACACTATGCCCCAGTCATTAGTTGAGGTGTTGGCTGTCATATGATGGTAAACTTACATGAAGAAGACCTGTTAATGTTATGGTGCCACATTATGGTAGCTTGATTAACACATTGTGTATGATGCAGGTTGGAAGTTGTGCTCAGTAGAATTGATGATCTCCATGACAACCAGACAGCTGCCCTAGGATTAGGTCCACCTGTTCCCATGGAAACACAGACTCAGTCAACAGCCCAGATTGAGAAGAAAATGGCAGCATTAGAAAATCAGGTGAGTCACGTGCCCCTTACCCCTAGTTCGATGTTGCCCTTATCATCTTACATTCACTTGATTTTACTCTCTATTTCTAAATACTTTCACTTCCACTTTGCTGTTGTCTACCTTTATTTTAACTAAATCTTTTATTCTAGATTAGTGACATATTAATATGTCAGCATACATCATCCTAAAAGTTTTGTGGTGACAAAAAAAAGTTCAATAAATAACATTTTACTTTTTAATTAGAATTCATTCTATAGACTACTGAAATCTGATAAAATTTTCTGTAACTATGTATAATTTTTGCCTGTGTTGTCACATAGCACAAACTATGAACAAAAATAAAGACTTAAAATATAATTTTTGCCTGTGTTTTAGATAACACAGACTGAAAAATATGAAGACTTAAAAATATAATTTTTGTGTGTGTTTTTTAGATAGCACAGTCTATGATAAATATGAAGACTAAATATAATTTTTGCCTGTGTTTTAGATAGCACAGACTATGAAAAATATAAAGACTAAAAATATTATTTTGGCCTGTGTTTTAGATAGCACAGACTATGAAAAATATGAAGACTTAAAAATATAATTTTTGCCTATGATTATTTTGGCCTGTGTTTTAGATAGCACAGACTATGAAAAATATGAAGACTTAAAAATATAATTTTTGCCTATGTTGCCAGATGGTTCACACGACCAAAGCCTTAGAGTGGATCATGTCCTCCCTACAAGAGAACAAGCTAGCATCCAAAACACAGAGACCTACCCTGCCCGACTACAGTAAAGTTAAACTTGAAGGTATTTCTGTCAGTCTTGACTGAATGTTGTAGTTAGTAACTTCATTGTCTAGGCCTCGGTATTCACTTTAATTGGTTAACTTTTTTTTTATTCTAGTTTTTAGTGTTATAGAGTTAACTATTTATGAATAAACACAGAATTTTTAATACAAAATTTTTTCTTTGTTTTCTAGTTTAGAAGTAGTGTAGTTTTGTTGTAAGTCTAAAATCAAGTCAAAACATTTTTTGGTGTTCTAATATAGACTAGCTTTACGTTCTTGCAAGAGTTTTTAATGAATAATCTAAAGAGTAGGAATATGGGAGGATATCACCACACCCTCCTGTATGCCAGCCCCCACACATAGTTGGTGTGGCCGTGTGGTAAAGCCACAGGCACTACACTCTGCAGCAGAATTTAAACTTGATAGTACAATGCCACATGTGGGGGCTGTGGAGGGTGTGTGGGAGTCGAATAAGCTACCACATGTGGGGGCTGTGAGGGAGTCAAATAAGCTATAACATGTGGGTGTGTGTGGGATCTTCCACATGCCTTGTATTTTAAATCACATTCCACACTTTTAACTAACTCCATAGGGTCAGTGTTTCATTTTTTGGTAGAATTTTTAAAAATGTTGATCTTTGTTAATAATTACATTAGGCCTTGATTGATTTATAATTGTTTTAGAGGCCACACATATTTTTACAATATGCCTTAAAGGTAAGAAATTCCAACTATCAATGCTTAAGTTCATCCAGTTTAAATCTTAAGCTAGAGCTTTACATAAAGAATTTTTCTATGAGCACAGAAGTATCAGGCTAAAAGATGTATGTGGATACTTCTATCTTCCATCTTCATGTATGGTGCTATATGTAATTTTGTCTGTTTAGTTCTAAATACTTTTTGTATTGTCTTCAGCAAGCTACTCACCTACCCCAATAATTGCATCAGTTGGCCTTTTAACTAAAACTAAGCTTCAAAGAACCCAGTTTTATGCATTTTTCCCTTCCTATTTTTTTTCATGCATATTTCCCTTCCTGTTTTTTAATATTTGTTTTTTTTACTGCTTGTTCATTTAATTTAGATTTGTTTGTAAAAAGTTTGTTTACTTTTAACCCACATTTCAGATGAGCACTGATGTGAGCTGAGCATACAACAGATTTGACATTTTTACAATTGTTATACCAGCAAACATATACACTATTTATTTTCAATCTGGCATATTTTTTAAAATCTGGGATTTGATGAGAAATTTCTCTAATTGCTGTGGGATATGTAGAGGATTGATACCATCATAAAACATTCTCAATTAAGTTTTACTCATCTTGCTAAAAGTTGCTAATACTAATTTATAATGTAATATTTTGAAGTCAACAGGCAAAAAAATGCTTTCAAAATTAGTAAAATACTCTTAAAAAGTACTGCTGAATTTTTACTAATGCTCATGTAGGTGTCAATCTAATGATACATTTTTTTGTGTGATATTTTAATTTTTTATTTTTTCTCTTTGTTTGCCGGGCATTTGTCTATGGTATTTAACTAATCTCACCACAGCACATTTCTACTTCATTTTGTAAGTATAGAATTTTTTATTTACACGCTGTAATAATTAACTAATTATATTTTTGTTATTGTTACATTGCATAATAAAGATGATACCGGTACGTTATTTATTAAATATTATTTATTGACGCATGCATGTCATGTTTTTGTTATACAAAATTTGCCATTGTGAAAATAACCTTATTCAACCCTTACACATTTATTATATAACCGATTTCAATACTTTTACACATTTTAAGCATGTTTATGATTTTATGGTGTAATTTTTTTTATTTGTCCTACATATATTATTTTTATAATTGAAGTTTACTGACCTAATTTGTGTTTTTGAAAAGCAACTTTTTTTGTAAATAAAATATATTTATCTTAAGTATAAATTGGTAATAAAATCTGTATGAAATCATTTAGAACTATTCATGTGTGTTTATTTTTGCGTAGTATCAATATATTAATCTGCTTTCCCATATTACAGTGCTAGTATTTAAATGCCAAAACATAAAAACAGTAAATGTTTTATAAAAATAATTTTTATCTTTAACTTTGTAATTTCTAAATTTACTAAGATAAAACATATAGCCTTCTTTAACAATAAATAATTTTCATTGAATCAAAAGACCCATTGTCTAGTTTTTATTATATTGAGAATAAAATAAAATACCAACTTTATTTTGTTGACTGTAAAATTAAATTATGTACATTAGCCATATCTAAATTTAAATATTTGAAATTAATATGTGTGTTTAAATTATAGTTTTTAAATAGTAATGCATTAAGCTTTGCTCATAACATAAATACGCAGACATACACATTTATGTTAATCTAATATTTAAACTACACAATACCTGCCATACCTTGATAACAGAATTAGTTGGACAAATGTGTTAGAATTTTTAAAATAATAAGCATACTTATTAATAAGTAAATTCCACTTTCCAGGCAATCAATAACACCATGTATTACAATGAAAATATCAACAAATAAAGTAGAGTTCATGTTTCTTGACCTCGGCTTATAAGGGATGGTGTGGTCAGCACTATGCCCAGCCGCCTTTACTTTCCCTAATGTGAGTCAGGTACCCATCAGAGCTGAGTGGACTCTGTGATGTTCTGCAGACTTAAAGTCCACACCAAGATCAAACTCGCGACTTTGGAGTTAGCCTATCCAAATCATGTTGACTGGCTATGTCATGGTGGCTGGCCACATTCTTGTGGCTGGCCACATTCTTGTGGCTGGCCACATTCTTGTGGCTGGCCACATTCTTGTGGCTGGCCACATTCTTGTGGCTGGCCATATTCTTGTGGCTGGCCATATTCCTGTGGCTGGCCATATTCTTGTGGCTGGCCATGTTCTTGTGGCTGGCCATGTTCCTGTGGCTGGCCATATTCTTGTGGCTGGCCATATTCTTGTGGCTGGCCATGTTCTTGTGGCTGGCCATGTTCTTGTGGCTGGCCATGTTCTTGTGGCTGGCCATATTCTTGTGGCTGGCCATATTCTTGTGGCTGGCCATGTTCTTGTGGCTGGCCATGTTCTTGTGGCTGGCCATGTTCTTGTGGCTGGCCATATTCTTGTGGCTGGCCATATTCTTGTGGCTGGCCATATTCTTGTGGCTGGCCATATTCTTGTGGCTGGCCATATTCCTGTGGCTGGCCATATTCCTGTGGCTGGCCATATGCTTGTGGCTGCCTATATTGATGGCCCCTCAACCATTCATAGTTCAAGTATAGAAAGCAAGTTGTATCAGTATCCTCTCTAGACTTGCTCATCTAGATCAAGTAAGTCGCAACAAGTGTTTATCTTAACTCACTCAAAGTAGCCTGCTCATAACAGCTTGGTGTAATCACAGGTAAAGTTGGGACTTGAACTCTGAATCTTCATTTCCAGGTTAAATTATTTACCATATCACATATTAAGCCCATTATGTAAGTTATTATTCACAAGATATTAAATGACAGTTTGAACATAAGCATTCATTCAAGATTCTTAGTTTAAATTGATTGCATTTTTTGTCATCTATTACAACCAAAGGTAACTTTCAAGAATCTTAGTTTAATTTTTTAACCCTCTGTGTGACACCACCAATACTGTGACTTGACCATAAATTCTGCCTGTCCCAGAGCTCAAGAAGAAACAAGCCCAAGATGAGAATGACAAGAAAGTTGTCCAGGAGCTGTTGCAGAAGAAAAAAGACTTCAACTTCATGTCCAGGACTTCACCCTACCCAGCAACCACAGTACAGCGGCAGAAAGTTCCGGATGAGATGGTGCAGTGGGAGGTGAGGGGTGGGGGAGTTTTTCTGCCTTTTGACATATTGTGGTAATGCTCTTGTGGTGATGTTCTGTGGTGTGATATTTTGGGAATTTGTAATGTTTTGTGAGTCAGTGGTGATTCTGTTTTGTGGTGTTGTTCTGTTCGTTGTCGTGACACTGTGAGAGCCTAGTACTGACGTTTATTTTTGTGGTGATGTTCTGTGATGTGGTGCAGATGTTCAGTTTTATTGTGATGTTCTGTGATGTGGTGATGTTCAGTTTTGTGGTGATGTTCTGTGATGTGGTGATGTTCTGTGATGTGTTGATGTTTTGTAAGAGTGATTAGATTCAGTTTTGTGGTGATGTTCAGTTTTGTGGTGATGTTCAGTTTTGTGGTTAAGTTCTGTGATGTGGTGCAGATGTTCAGTTTTATAGTGATATTCTGTGATGTGTTAATGTTCACTTCTATGGTGATGTTCAGTTTTGTGGTGATGTTCTGTGATGTGGTGATGTTCTGTGATGTGGTGCAGATGTTCAGTTTTATTGTGATGTTCAGTTTTATTGTGATGTTCAGTTTTGTGGTGATGTTCAGTTTTGTGGTGATGTTCAGTTTTGTGGTGATGTTCTGTGATGTGGTGATGTTCTGTGATGTGTTGATGTTTTGTAAGAGTGGTTAGATTCAGTTTTGTGGTGATGTTCAGTTTTGTGGTGATGTTCAGTTTTGTGGTTAAGTTCTGTGATGTGGTGCAGATGTTCGGTTTTATAGTGATATTCTGTGATGTGTTAATGTTCACTTCTATGGTGATGTTCAGTTTTGTGGTGATGTTCTGTGATGTGGTGATGTTCTGTGATATGGTGATGTTCTGTGATGTGCTGATGTTCTGTGATGTGCTGATATTTTGTAAGAGTGATTATGTTCAGTTCTATGGTGATGTTCAGTTTTGTGGTAATGTTCAGTTTTGTGGTGATGTTCAGTTTTGTGATGTTCAGTTTTGTGGTGATGTTCAGTTTTGTGATGATGTTCAGTTTTGTGGTGATGTGGTGATCTGGTGATGTTCTGTGATGTGGTGATGTTCAGTTTTGTGGTGATGTTCAGTTTTGTGATGATGTTCAGTTTTGTGGTGATGTTCAGTTTTGTGGTGATGTTCAGTTTTGTGGTGATGTTCTGTGATGTGGTGATGTTCTGTGATGTGGTGATGTTCAGTTCTTTTTCTCAGATTGACTACCCAGATTACAACCCCCCAGCCTACACCTCCTCTGAAATTCTCAGAAAACCTTCATTTGCTGATGATGATCTATTGTCGTAAGTTTTTTTTATTGTAAAATTTTTACTTTTTTAAAATTTATATTTATTTAGAAAGTAAATCAATGGCCCATAGCTCTTGGTTCTGTCAATAAAAAAAAATTAAGAATGTTTGGTAAATTATGAATCAATTTTAACATTCTAAGCTATTTTCACTGCATTTTATTAATCAAGTAAAATAGAAGTAATTGAAAAATGAATATAGTTTGGTTTTTACTATTATTTTTAACATTAAGATAAAGTTATCTTTAGCCCTAATTACAAGCCTAGGCCTAATCCCTAACACAAACACAAAATTATTGTATTTACTGGCTAAGCTAACACTAGACCTATGTTTCTATAAAACCTGGAAATTTAATTTTTTGTTGATATCAGGACGCCGGTGAGGAAGAAAGTAAAAATAGATTTCAATGAGTACGACAAACAGTGCAAGGTTTCTCGACAAAGCTTGCTTAAACCTTACAAGGTTGTGGACGGTCTGCCATTGAACCCTGTAGGCCGCACAGGGTTGAAAGGTCGGGGGTCGCTCGGAAGATGGGGGCCCAATCATGCAGGAGATCCTGTGGTTACCAGGTCAGTTGAAACCATTTAAGATTTTAAAACTTTAAAATTGGACACAGTTTTAATACAAGTTTGGAAGAGCAACTGTTTATGGAAATATGAAAACATAATTTTGAACTGATGTAAAATACAAACTCACGTTTTTTTCACTTGTTTTTCCATAGTATTTTTCTCCATAGGGGTCGTCCATTAATGACATCACACTCTTAGGGGTGTGGGGGGGGGGGGGGGTGGTTCCATAATTTTGTGACAATGTGTGAGGAGGGGGAGAGTTAATTTTTAAAAAGTAAAGTTAGAAACTGAATTTTAGACATCATCATTTTTCTAGAAAACTCTTGTATTAAATTGAAATAGAAATTGATTAAAATACTCTATGTTGAACCATCTTAATCAATATTTTAGAGAAAAAAACAATGTTTACAAAAAATTAATCTGCTATTTTGATGGGGCTTGTAGGCTGAGGTGTGACATCATTTTGTTTTGGGGGGGGGGGGGGGTCTGGCATTTTGTGATGATGTGTGAGGGAGGGAAGGTGTGGAGGTAAAGTGCATTAAAAAAGGATGCCTTCAATTATGGATGACCCCTTATAAACAAATTGTTTAATAACTTCCAATTTTTTAAATTCATTTCTTTTTGTTTGGAATAAATATCAATCTTTGATGCCAGAAAACTTTTTTCCTTTCAAAAACTCAGATGGAAGCTCCTAGAAAATGGTACTTGTGCCAAGACCAATGGCAAACCTGTCTTGGAATTTGTGGCTGTACAACGATTGGACAATAACTTGTGGGCCCTGCCAGGGGTAATTTTTATTTGTTTTTATCCCTATTCATTTAATTCATGTATTTGGTTTTGTGTACTTATATTATTGGTGTATTTTCTGAAAAACTAAGTTATACCTTGATAGGTCTTTAAACAAGTTCTAATTCTTGATGACACCACTTAAGGGATCATCCATAAATGATATCAAGTTTTTTTTAAAAATGATTTTTACCCCCTTCCCTACAAAGTGACCCCACTACAGCCTACCCACCCATACTTCAATTTACAATATTTTATATGTGTAAAAGCTATACATTTGTACAATATAAGGATTAAATACATTGCTGTGATTTCAAAATAAATTCTAAGTATAATATTCCATATTCAGTTTTAACGCAATTTTTACTTTCTCATATATACGAAGTAAAGAGAAAGTCTTGTAATCGTGCAAAAAATAAAAAAATCTAAATTTTTGCAAAAAAATATAATTTTGCAATCTTGTCCGTATGTCTGTGTGTCTGTAAAGACGATAACTTGAGTACCGTTACAGCTAGGTTGATCAAATTTCATTTATAAGTATTTTATCAAAATCGTAGATCCGTATCAACTTTTGAGCGATTTCTGTTAACCGGAAGTGGTACTTTTTTTGCTTTCAATTTTTCAAAAGCCTATAACTTGAATACTATTTCAGATAGATAAATGAAATTTCACATGTAAGTAAAAGATCTAATTCACTACCTTCTGTAAAATTTTGAGTAATTTCTGTTGACCGGAAGTACCAATTTACGCTATTTCTGATTTCTCAAAAACTAATGTAAATTTATAAATATAATATTCCGCACTATTAATAATAGTATTATGCACATTTTATTTGGCGTTCACTTGTGTGCAATTCTTTTTTCTACGAGATTTTATTCTATTTTAAAAAGTTTAAGTTTTTGAAAATGGATTAAAATTCATGTCTATATCCCTGAGTTCCCATCCCCTGTTTTTAATATATAAGAATAGTCGAGAAAGTTGTTTTTTTTTTTTATTTTAATTTTATTTTAAACATGTCATACATTTTTTAATTTTTCTTATACAAGACGTCTAAGTTTGCTTTAATTAAAACATTGTTCCTTCGAAGCGTATTATTTGGGTGGCGGGTGGTGGCTCTCTGTGTGAGCCTTTATACTTTCTAAAGGGAGGCATAGGTTACAAGAGTGACAGGAGTACATCGTTACTTCAGGATGGTTTTTTATATAATGCCCGTATATGTCTAGGTACCAAGTCCAATCTGTGTGCGGAATCTTGTCAATACAAATTTAACAAAGTAAGAAGTCCCAGTGTTCATGGCGTTCGTGTATTTTAGCTTCCTCAACTGATTTGCATCGCTGGGTGCAAAATCTGCACTTTTTGTCGTCGAATACTGATTTTGTAGTTTTTTTTATTTTTTGCTGTTTGTTTTGTGTCAGTGGGGCCGTCTTCCTTTTTCCTTTTTGGACTTGTATATTCGGGCATATCTGTATCTGTGCTGGGCTTGTTATGTTCGAGAGTTGGTTTCAAAGTAAACGTAAAATTGACTGGGTAGAGCGAGGATGGTAGAGGAGAATTCGATTTGAGAGTTGTTGATGCAGATGGTTTAACGGTTGATGTTTTCGCTGTGCTCGTACTAGGGGTTATTGGCTTGCTTGGCGGTTTGGCTGGACTAGTTGGTTTCCTGAATTGAGTTTTGGGTGAGATCGGTGCAGTCGTAGTGGGGGTGGCTTGCATGTTCGTAGATTTAGGAGGTCCTGTTGTTTGTTGCTGCACAGGGATATTTGTTGAAGGGTGCTGAGTTGAGATCTGCGCAGTCGCAATTGGGGTGACTTGTGGGTTTACCGGCGTAGGAGGTTCTGTTGATGGCAGCTGTGCAGGTGTAGCTGGATCCTGTGATGCTGTGAGGTGTGCATTTGATGCTGGGCATTGATTGGTCCAGTGCGAGGTTGCAGAGCAGAACTGGCAGGCTTGTTTCCTTCCATTTATGGCGACTAGGATGTTGAGGGATTTGTTTTTGTAATTAATTTGAATGTAATGAGGGATGTTTGTTGGGTTGTCAGTGTGTATGGAGAAGCTGCTGTTACTGGTGTGAGGAATTGTGGTTATGGTTGGTTCTTTGTTGCTGTAGTGCTTGTATGAGTGTGAGATCGTTGAGTGTGGGGGTACCCACCTAAGGGTTATGTTGATTCTATTTTTTTCGTGTAGTGTGAAGTGTAGTGTGTAAGGGCCGTGTATTTTGTGTGTATTGTGCATCGTGGTGACGTCGAATGCTGTAGAGGAGAAGAACCAAGTATCTGCTCTGCCGTAGTTGAGGAGCAGGATTTGTTCATTACTTATGAGTTGTCGTAAGACATGTCCGCGTAGGTTGGGGAGGCCTTTTGAGGAGATTCGAACTTGGATAGTCGGTGTGTCGACTGGGTACAGTTCTGGGTAGATTCAGGTACGTAGTTGAATTTGCTGAAAAGGGTTGGGCCCAGGATTTCATTAAGCCACCCGAACCGTAGTCGGGGTGGCTCCTCCCCAAGTCTCTCGACCCAGGGGGAACATCCAAGGGCGCAACCCCTTTGTTGACGTTGACGATATTTGCGTAAGTCATTCTGTTTGAGGATGACATCATTGGATGGTGCGGATAGGTTATCGATCTTAGCTAAATGGTTTTATTTTATCTCTGCTATAAGACCATATTATACCAGAGTAGATTTGATAAGATTAGAAGGCAGAGAAAGTGCCCCTCGGTAAAACCTCATTGGCTATGGTGCCGCTATATATAAGAATATTCGAGAAAGTTAGGGGAGATCATCCTGGTTTAGTTGTGTCTAAGGTATTGAATGAAGTTACTTTCCTACATACATATTCCCAAAAATCTAAACTTTACTTATGGCTTGATGTTTTAAGTTATTTTATAATAGTATATTTCAGTTTAGTGCCACAAAAAAGATTTTAAGCTCTGTTTATAGATAATTATTATATGTTTAATTTCCGAAAGAAAAATGTTTTATTTAAGATAATGAGAAAGATATAATTTATGAAGTATTCTGATTTACATTAATGACTTTGATTATTTCCCTTATATTATTTCTCTTACTTTAATAATTTTTTAAAAATTACATAAAATGAATGGGAAATTTATTTAATAAGTAGATCTATAACAAATGCAGAAATAATGTTGACTTTCAAGTAGATGATTGTGTTAAAAAAGAAACTGTTTCCAAAAATGACAATAAAATAGAAAAATAAAATTATCATTGCAATCACAGTTCAGACATCTAAGATTATTGGTGGATTGTTAATTTATTAATGTTAATGTGTTCTATTCTACTCTGTTCTGCTCTATGACACTACATTGTTTTACATTCTATTCTAATGTATTTAACCTTCCTCTTTCTATACTACCCTACCATACTGTGCCCCACTCTGCTGTTCTGTTCAGTGCTTCGATATACTGTACTAAATTCCACTACGTGTTGTGTAAGTATGTGGTGTGTGTGAGTTATATGGTTTGAGTGTGTTAGTGTGGTTTGTGTGTTATGGTGTGGGAAGTAGTTGGATGTGGATCGTGGGGTTGGGGTTGTCAGGGGTTGGGGTTGTCAGATGTGATGTGGGGTATGATGTGGAGTAGGTTTAGTGTGGGGTGGGGTTCTGAGGTGTGGCTTGGTTTGGGATAAGGGGGTTGCCTGAGGTGTGGCTTGGTTTGGGATAAGGGGGTTGTCTGAGATGTGGCTTAGTTTGGGATAATGGGTTGTCTGAGGCGTGGCTTAGTTTGGGATAAGGGGTTGTCTGAGGTGAGGCTAAGGGTAAGGTAGGTGTAGTGTGTGATGCAGTCTGTTTTCCACCTTCTGTCATTCATTTTGTTATAGTGTATTATATCCTTTACCAGGGTGGTTGTATAGCACAGTGTTAGGCTCTATATAAGGCTGTCTTTGTTTTTTCTTCTTCCATTTTCTTCTTGATTTTAGTGTTAGGAGGGATTCCCTCCAACACAATTTTTGTTTTGTTCCTGTTTTTTACATTAAAAAAAATGGCAAAAAAAAATGGCTGGCTGAATAAATAAGCTGACTTCCCCACATGTATTGCTTAATATGACCGGTTGTGATTGATGGTAATGTTATATCACTTTATAGGTAATTTTTGTGCTATATATCTGGATGACACCTTGTGTGATGTAGTCTCATACATGTTAATCATCATCATCGTCATCATCATCATCATCATCATCATTATCATCATCATCATCATCATCATCATCACCCTCATCGTCATCTTTTCCCGTTCGTGCCCAAGTCACATGGGGCAGATGAAGTAGAGTTCATCTGTTTCAGGAACCTCGACATTTGCTTTCCATAATGTGAGTTAAAAACCCATCAGAGCTGGGTGTACTCAAGGATGTTCTACTGACTTGAACCCGGATTCGAACTCAAGACTTTCGAGTTAGCAGCCTAGCTCTCTACTGCTAGGCCACTCCACCCCCCATACATGACTCTAAAAATTTAACTCACGTATGAATTTGTTCCCAGGGTATATGTGAGCCAGATGTGAGCCCATGGTCTGTTTTGAAGACAGATTTCAAAGAAAGCAGCGAGAACTCTCCTGTTAACAAAGAAGAGATAGAGAAGGGACTAGCAGATCTGTCACAAAGTGGTGTTGAGGTAACAACGTCACCGGATTTTTCACTTATCATACCAGATAAGGAGCCTGTTATGTAAACAGAGTTCCTTCCAGGCATCTCTTTGAATAAAGTCTACCCCCCCCCCGGTCAAAATGGAATATTTATATAGAAAATATATCAAGTGCCGCCCCCCCCCCCCCCCCCTCGGAGAAAAAAGTCTGGAAGAAACACGGTATTTAACACACCTAATATATAGCCTAATCTGTGATATCAGATATTGATATAAAGCTATGAATAATACAAGTGTCCTGACGATAGTCGGACTTAACATGGTTGTCTAAAAATATAAAAGCGTTTCAGATAAATGTGCAAGTGAAAATTGTGCATATAGAAAAATGGGCAAATGCACTCATTTACAGTTTTATTTGGTCATATTTCATGGACATATGTTTTATTATGGTGTATTTTACACGTGATCATACTTTAAATAACCAAAATAAAAAAATAAAATTCCCATGCACACTTTTCTGAGTCCAAATATCCATGTGTTGCTTATTATTCTGCTCACACTGAACAAAGGATTATGTCAAAGTATTATCCATTCAATAATTAGGGTTTTTACTAATCCATGTGTTGCTTATTATTCTGCTCACACTGAACAAAGGATTATGTCAAAGTATTATCCATTCAATAATTAGGTTTTTACTAATCCATTTGTTGCTTATTATTCTGCTCACACTGAACAAAGGATTATGTCAAAGTATTATCCATTCAATAATTAGGGTTTTTACTAATCCATGTGTTGCTTATTATTCTGCTCACACTGAACAAAGGATTATGTCAAAGTATTATCCATTCAATAATTAGGGTTTTTACTAATCCATGTGTTGCTTATTATTCTGCTCACACTGAACAAAGGATTATGTCAAAGTATTATCCATTCAATAATTAGGGTTTTTACTAATCCATTTGTTGCTCATTATTCTGCTCACCCTGAACATATCCAAAAGATTATGTCAAAGTGGAACTTCAACTAGATTAATAAATGACAGGTTTATATGTAACTTAACTATTCTTTGAAAATAAATAGTAGATTTTTTCTATAGCTCTTCAAGTATACTTTTTTGATCTAATGTTTATTAATGCAGATAAAGTAAATTTTACTTGTTTCTGTGACTTTGCATTCATATGGATTGTATCATCCATTCAATAATTAGGGTTTTTACTAATCCTGAATAGCCAGGTACTACTTATAGCTGAGTGGGCTCAGTGACTCCCCTAGCATCCACTACTAGTGTTATATGTGTACTTGAACATACCTTTACCACTGTGTACATGAACATACCTTTACCACTGTGTACATGAACATACCTTTACCACTGTGTACATGAACATACCTTTACCACTGTGTACATGAACATACCTTTACCACTGTACATGAACATACCTTTACCACTGTGTACATGAACATACCTTTACCACTGTGTACATGAACATACCTTTACCACTGTGTACATGAACATACCTTTACCACTGTGTACATGAACATACCTTTACCACTGTGTACATGAACATACCTTTACCACTGTGTACATGAACATACCTTTACCACTGTGTACATGAACATACCTTTACCACTGTGTACATGAACATACCTTTACCACTGTGTACATGAACATACCTTTACCACAGGTGTACAGGGGTTATGCCGATGACCCACGTAACACAGACAACGCATGGATTGAGACACGGGTGGTCAACTACCACGACAAGGATGGAAAAGTTTTACAGCATGTCATTCTTAAGGTTAGTTTCAAGCTTTGTCTGAGCGTTTGCAGTTTTCTTTCCCAACCAGGGTTAGAAGCTGTGAATATATGCTGTGGCTCTGTGTGCTTGTGGCAGTGATGAATGGAGAAGTTGGGGTTTGTCTTCTATGATTTACAAATTTTATATATATATATATATATATATATATATATATATATATATATATATATATATATATATATATATATATATATATAGGCCTATATATATATATATATATATATATATATATATAGGCCTATATATATATATATATATATATATAGGCCTATATATATATATATATATATATATATATATATATATATATATATATATATATATATATATATATATATATATATATATGGCCATATATATGGACATATATATGGCCATATATATATGGCAACCTCCATTACTTGTTCAATGTTCTCAAGATCTTCCTCAGTAACTATTTTATCGAGAGCCTTTCTTGGTAGATTTGAAGGCTGTCACATATGGAAACTAACATGGATTTACATTTTTTTCTTTTGACAGTCATCTGCTATGTCTGTCTCATGGTCTGACGGCCCTTTTGATCCATGTCGCCTTGCATATAGAATGCTATACAAACAAGAGCTAAACAATACGTTACTCTCAATGAAAACGCACTCAGAATAATGAAATTGCTATCACAACTTAGTCTAGATAGAACATATTGGCCAGTGCGCGCATTGGCCGGCCAATGTACAAAATATGCTGTCAAGTTTAAGTGCTTCAGACTTTGGCCAGTATGTCCCAGCCAGTGCGCGCATTGGCCGGCCAATGTACAAAATACGATCTTAGTGCTAAGTTCTTCGGGCTTTGGCCAAGAGAGCCGGCCAATGCGCGGATTGGCTTTGACCGTAACATATATATATATATATATATATATATATATATATATATATATATATATATATATATATATATATATATATATATATATATATATATATATATATATATATATATATATATATATATATATATATATATATATATATATATATATATATATATATATATACAAGATGATTGTAATTGTGAGTTTTTCATTCAATTTGTAAAACATAGTTGATGGGTCTGATCAAAATTTCCTGGGACATCTTAAAGTCTAGGTATACAACAGACGAGAATAAAAAAAATGTATTTTTTGTTTTGCCAGGCACGTGAGGCCGTCCATGCTGTGACATGGCAGACAGTGTCCAGCAGTCTGACCCTGCACGGAGCACACGCCTACTTTCTCAAGCTGGTGGCTGACAGACATGGCGCCGCATTCTAAACTGGTTGGACATGGACTTTTGGCTGGACATTTATCTGGATATTTTGTCTGGACTTTTTACCTGGACATTTTACTTAGACTGTTTACCTGGACATGTCACCATAACTTTTTACCTGGACATGTCACCATAACTTTTTACCTGGACATGTCACCATAACTTTTTACCTGGACATGTCACCATAACTTTTTACCTGGACATGTCACCATAACTTTTTACCTGGACATGTCACCATAACTTTTTACCTGGACATGTCACCATAACTTTTTACCTGGACATGTCACCATAACTTTTTCCTGGACATGTCACCTGGCAATTTCACATTGACTCTTTACTCTGACATTATACCACGTCTATTTCACCTAGTTAATTTACCTAGACTTATTTAGACCTGCATCTTGCATCCAAAAATCCAAACTTTAAAGTCTTGTTACCACTGCTAACTGTTGTTACGCTTTTTGTTAAATATAGTAACTTTTGTTACTCAAGGTAACTTTTGTTACCCTTTTTGTTAAACCTAGTAACTGTTCCACTTTTTTTGTTCAAGTTATTACAATTTTTATAGTTTTTACACGTAGTAACTTTTTGTTATATTTTGTTAAACCCAGTAGATCTAACTATTATTATACTTTATTATAAAATTGAGAAACTTTGTTATCTCCTTCTGATAAAACTAATGACTATTGCTACAGTCACACTCATATGCTAAAACCACATAATTATTGTTACATCTATACATTTTTAACTTTTATACTTATAACCAAAGATATGTAACAAATACCTAAATATAACGCGACATCTCACACAACCTGTAAATGCTGGAGAAGAATGTGAAATATTTTTGGTGAATGTACTATGAGACTTACAGTCATCCTTCAGTGATCCTGGTTAATAAGGATCAGAACTGGAAGCGATAAGTAGCGATGGATGACTTTATTACACTCCTATCCTACAAGTTTGTTGCACTTACATAAGATTAAAGAAATAAAATTACTTTGTTTTAAATAAGTCATGATACATATTTTTAAAAATTGGTTATAGATTACAGTATGTTTAGAATATATTTAAATATTATTACACTTCACGTCTGAAGCTCTTATTGATTTTTGAACATTATTGCAACCATTTATTATAAAATTTAACAATATTCATGAATTAATTATTTCCCTTAAGAAATCACTTGTTTGTCTACTTTTGAATAATTTTTATAAACAATTCTTTCTCTTATCATCAGGAATAAGGTGTTTTGTTGATATTATTATTAAATACCTCATTTTTCTCCTCTTCTTTGCTTCTTTTATGTTTTGAAGTTGGTTGCATTTTTTGTTTTTCCTTAGCACAGTGTAATTCTCTTACTGAAAGGTTCACAAAGCAATAATATATTTGTGCCATTGGACAACATACTTATTTTTTAAAAGATTTGTGAAGCAATAATCTATATGTGTCTTTTAAAAACATTTGACATGCGTATTTTTGCTCAAGGTCTGTGAGTGTAACATATAATGCTTTAGGTTATTGTTTGTTTGAATATTAAAATTAATTCCTGTCAGATCTACTGCTTTGATCAAAGTATTACATTATTGTTGTTAGGAACTGTAATAAACTGATTCAGTCACATCAGTCAGGGTTTATTCTACCAGTAGGCCATTTTCTAGAGTAGCTTAAACATATTTCTCAAGGTTTTTATACATTAAGTGATTTTTATTTCATTTTACAAGAATAATAGTCTTTAATAGACAATGCCATTCTGATGCATTTTATTTTAGTTCCATTGAAAAATTAAAGCAATAAAAATGTCTTTTTATGAAAGATGATGAAAATGATCACTAATTTTATCTTTTAACAGAGATAATTGCAAGCTTTTGGTATTTGACACTTTTTGTATCAAAACACTCAGTGTATTTAGATGGCACCTTACATGTAGGCCTATAACAAGTCATATCATCGTAATATTGTACATTGTTTAACGTGTTGACAATCATTTATGCCCACTGCTTTTTGTTCCATGATCCATAAAATTATATTTTTTACACACCGCTTAACAGCATGTTTACACGTGCGACATGTTTAGTATACATATCTAGCAAAAAATCAACAAGTTAATGTTACATGAAAACCTGTAAACCGATTTGCTGCAAGTGTTTTTTCTATGCGTGTATATGTATAGTATAGCTAGACAGTGGTAGAACTAGAAAAAAAGGGCCACCCCACAAAAACTTTTTTAGGGCCCTCTATATATATATATATATATATATATATATATATATATATATATATATATATATATATATATATATATATATATATATATATATATATATATATATATATATATATATATATATATATATATATATATATAGGCCTACACAAAAACACAAAGAATATTCATTTTGGGCTTGTTCAAGTTTTGAAAAAAAAAAAAATTCTTTGTTTTTAAAAAAAATTAAAACTAGTTGCAACACTCCATGTGTGTGAGTGCTATTTGAAAAATTTCTGTTTCAATTTTAATTATGTTTACCATAATGCTTCTTAAAAGCTAGGGGGTCCAAAGAATATAAGAATATGAAGCATGAAAGCTTTGTATGTGTAATGGTTTCTTGGGTTATGTTTTTTTAATGTTTTTTTTTAAATGTATATTATTAGTCTTAAATACATTTCCTTTTTATACTATGTCATTCGTTATTATGCATTATTAAAAACATAATGATTAAGAAAATTAATTGCTTTATATTTGTTTAGTACAGATCTATTCAAAGGTGCTTAAGCACACATTTGACTATTTAAAAAAGTGAAATAAGTTATGGAAGTGGTTTGAACGTTTGCTTATCTTTCATACTACAACTTATGTATGTATATATATATATATATATATATATATATATATATATATATATATATATATATATATATATATATATATATATATATATATATATATATATATATATATATATATATATATATATATATATATATATATATATATATAATATATATATATATATATATATATTTATATAGGCCTATATATATAATATATATAACTATAAAAGGCTTAGTTGTTGGGGCGCTAGTTTGTACACACTACCACAAACACGCCCCAGGTTACGCTGATGATAAAAAATACCCTCGATGACGGCCTTGGTGTCAGAGGCGTCACGGGGCTCTTGGGACACGGCCACCGGCGGAGGCCCCTAATGCAGCGAGACTGATGATTCAAGTAGTGCACCTATCCCCCTGTGCAGGGCACCCGATAAACAGACCCCTGGTGCTTAGATAGCAACTTTGGATCTCGGGGCGCTAAACTTCACATTTTAAACAAATATTAGTTCTATGAGCACTCAGAAACTTCCCAGATTATCATTAAGGTAGTATGAAGGGTGTAGTAATGCATAAAAGACAGACACGATGTTTATATGATGTGCCCAGCTCATGCCGAGGAAAACCTTCTGATTTTGGGGACATTCTTAAATGACGTCATGCTTTTTTGACGACTCACAAAAAACTAGACCCTCATCCCTAACTGTCGTCATTTAGTAATATTAATTGATTTTTTTTTTTATTAATTCAATTGTTTCATGTCCTAATAAGATAAAAAAAAATATTCTTACGTTCCTTGCTTTATAAATAAGATTCATCAAACTAATTAATAACATGCTATTAAATTAATATCCGCTGACTAGTGTCTGATAAAATGTGAGAAATAACGTACAGCTATGAAGTTCGCAAACAATTGATTTATCTATTAGCTACTTTTAAGACCAGGAGCGTATTTTGCATATTTTTTGCAAGAATTTGTTAATATTACATTCCATTTACACCCTTGCCTGCCTCAAATTATCTCCCCAATACTAACATTTTTGCCCTCAAGGGACACAACAAACACTAAGAATTATTTAAAATGTATTTTGAATTTACGTATAAATGTAACATATGATTTTATTCTCTATACTAGTAAAATTTATAAACAAATATTTTTATTAGTGGATGTGTTTTTAGTAATTATTGTTCATCATAGATATATATTTAATGTTTAGAAAAGTAATGCATAAAGTCTGTTGCTTTACATATATAAACTAAATTTATACATATAAAAATAGATACGTGTAGTGAAACTTTATGATCGTGTTACGTTCATGTTAGAATATTTCTTTGGGGTATTGGCATCTCGATCTTTGTCGTGGAAGGAACAACAGCGTTTCTGTCGTAGTCTGCTGAAAACCACACAATTTTACAATGCTTGGAACAAAGGATGATGTTGCTGTTGAGTCAGAAACAAAAGAGACCACAGAGCCAATTGTAGCAAAGACAGTTGAAGATGTGAAAGGCAAAGCTGATGAGGCTGATGCTGAAGCAGAAGAACAAGCAGAAGAAAACACAAAAACAGAAGATTCAGAAGAAAATACAAATGAAAATGCTAGCTCGGAAGAGACAGAATCAAAAACAGAAGAAACAACAGCAGAAAAGCGATCTGTAGATGAAAAAGAAAGTGAAGATGCAGAAGATGAAAGTTCGAAGAAAAAGGCAAAGACAGACTCTAATGAATCATCGAATGGCACCACAGAAACAACTGAATCTGCTTAGTTCTATTATATATATAATTATTTTTTTTTTCCTTTTCATTTTGAACTTAATCACAAACTTGTAAAAATGTGTTTATCATCATGTTCAGGAGAAAACTGAGATATTTATAGTCAGGTTGTACACTTCATCATGGTTCTCATCATTTGTACTGTTCTTGTAATAAACATCTTAATGTATAAAAAAAAAAAAATTCTTTGGGGTATTGAAACAATTGAATTAATAAAAAAATAAATAAATAAAAAACGGTTTGAGGACTGTATAGATATAGATGTTTGAAAGGGAAGAATGTTTGCTTTGATGTGTCTCATTGTAATAACATAACTTTTCCGATTGCTTAAAATTTGTATAATTTTAATTCTCGGTAATCCCTTTTTTTTCAGCTCTACTTTAAAACCCAAATTCCACCCCCCCCCCCCACCCCCGTCCCCTTAGCCCACCACGCACGCCGAGAAAAAAAAATCCCTTGAATTATCATTTAATTACACATTTGCATTTTCAGTTTCAGGTTGGTTTTTAATTTTATTTTTTTCTTTATATTTAGACGTTTTGTATTAGATCTATGTATAAGTAAACCATCTTAAATGAATGAAAGCAGGCTACAAGTA